ATAGGTACCCCTGCGGTAGGAAGGTAAACGGTGTTTCCGTGCACTGCTCTGGTTACTCCAGAAGCAGCTTAGTCATGCTGGCCATATGACCCGGAAGCTGTACGCCGGCTCCCTCGGCCAGTAAAGTGAGATGAGCACCGCAACCCTAGAGTCGTTCGCGACTGGCCCTAACAGTCAGGGGTCCCTTTAACCTTTACCTTTTAAGCTAAGAACTGAGACAATGGAACTATGATAACAATAGGCAAGTATATAATACTTACTAATACATACCTATTTGAGATTTGGCAGTCTCAAGTAATTATCAAGGTTGCTTTAGCTTCCCCCCCCCCCTTGTGATCTGGCTTTTGGGCAGGTATCGCTTGAGCAATTGTGTGGTTGCACATGAGCACATGGGTTTCCTTACTAACTGGAGGGTAATGAAGTGGAAACCATATGCAAAACCAAAACCACTTGCATAACACATCTCAGAAAAAGAAAATGATATAAAACTGGTCTAAATACCATTAGAAACAACCCACGTAAAATTACAAAGGGATATGACTTATTAACTGAGAGTTACTAAGAATATATTCCAAAAAGCACTCCAAATCAAATTCTAATGAATTGCATGTAGGAACCCAACGTTTTGGACAGGACACTCGCAGCTCGTGCTGCTAATGCCAGGGACTGAACCTGGGCCTTCTTTCTGCACAGGGCTTTCATTAGTAATCAGAAACATTCATATAGCAGACATTCATTCAGGATTCACAATCCTAATAGTGTGTTTCCAGTCATGGAGATTGATTGTATAATCAGTGTTTCTGATGAAATACAAGTTTTTCACACTATCCACAAGACATAGTCCTCAACAAAAAGGCCAACCTCTTTTTAAAGCATTTAATCCAATTTCCTCTCACAGCAGAAAATATGTTAAGTTAAAAAAATGTCTGTTATACATCCAGCCATGGATGGTATGGAAGCTCTTTTGCCCTGCCTCTAAAAACAGAAAAAACACTGCCATGTGTGTACTGATGTTTCAGTGAGCAATCTCGATTTCCCCACATGAATGCAACCTAGCCACTTTATTTTCAGTGGACCAAGGGATACATGTATACCTGTTTGTAAATTCAGAGTAACAGAGTAAATTTATCTGCATTTTCTGCAGAAGATTTTCAGTCTGTTGTCCATTATCTCCATTTTCAGTTTCATCACAGGAAATATGACTAAGGGCTTCAACAACTGTAAGCATAACTTTTGCTAGAAGCTGCAGTAGTTTTGGCAAGAGCCTCCCATCTTGTGCCTGATAAATGCTTAGGAACTTTTGACTCAAGAAGGAAGGGTTTTTTTTTTAGCACCGCTCATCTTTTTGTAGAAGCTGAGGAAAAAAACACAATACAGCTTTTATTGTGGCAAAAGTATTCTCTGCATCCAGGCATGTGCTGCATGATAAACTAACCTGTTTGTTTGGTGTTGCTCAGTATCTTTAACTGTATTAGCCATCAGCTGGATAACTTATTTGCATATGGTTTTGGATAATAATAATAATAATAATAATAATTTTTTATTTATACCCCGCCCTCCCCAGCCAAGGCCGGGCTCAGAGCGGCTTACAAGCAATAATAAAAACAAGATGAATGATTACAACTTAAAAACAAAATACATTAAAATAATGGAACATTAAAATATTAAAATGTAGCCTCATCGCAGGAGGAGAAATGAAAAGAAAAAAGAGAGGGAGGGAGGGAATCAAATTGGCTCCAAGCCAAAGGCCAGGCGGAACAACTCTGTCTTACAGGCCCTGCAGAAAGAAATCAGATCCTGCAGGGCCCTGGTCTCATGAGGCAGAGCGTTCCACCAGGCCGGAGCCAGTGTTGAAAAGGCCCTGGCTCTGGTTGAAGCCAATCTAACTTCCTTAGGGCCTGGGACCACTAGGGTGTTGTTATTTATGGACCTTGAGGCTCTCCGTGGGGCATACCAGGAGAGGTGGTCCCGTAGGTATGAGGGTCCTAGGCCGTGAAGGGCTTTAAAGGTCAAAAGCAGCACCTTAAATCTGACCCTGTACTCCACCGGGAGCCAGTGCAGCTTGAAAAGCACTGGGTGAATATGCTCCCATGGCAGAGACCCCGTGAGGAGCCTCGCTGCAGCATTCTGTACCGGCTGGAGTTTCTGGGACAGCTTCAAGGGCAGCCCCGCGTAGAGCGAATTACAGTAGTCAAGCCTGGAGATGACCGTCGCATGGATCACTGTGGCCAGGTCGGGGCGGGAAAGGTAAGGGACCAACTGCTTGATGCGGCGAAGGTGGAAAAATGTCGCCTTGGCTGTTGCTGTAACTTGCGCCTCCATGGAAAGGGAGGCGTCAAGGATTACACCCAAACTCTTAACGGAAGGCAATGGCACTAATTGGGCCCCCGCAAGACAAGGGAGTTGGTCCCTCATCCCCATGCCATCCTGACCTAGCCATAGGACCTCTGTCTTTGAAGGATTTAGTTTCAATCGGCTCCCACGAAACCATCCAGCTACAGCTTCCAAGCATCTGGTCAGTGTGTTTGGGGCCGAGTCGGTGTGGCCATCCATCAGCAGATAGAGCTGAGTATTGGTGACAGCCCAGCCCAAAGCTCCGGATAATCTGGGCAAGGGGGCGCATAAAGATGTTAAAAAGCATCGGGGAGAGAATTGCGCCCTGCGGCACTCCACACACCAAGGAGTGGCGCGACGACATTTCCTCCCTAGTGCCACCCTCTGTCCCCGACCAGAGATAAAAGAGCACAACCAGTTACGGGCTATGCCCTGTATCCCCACGTCTGCGAGGTGGTGGTTCAGAAGATCATGATCGACCATGTCAAAGGCTGCTGACAAATCTAAAAGGATCAGCAGTCCTAACCTGCCTCGATCCAGTTGTCTACGGAGATCATCTGTTAGGGCAACCAGAGCCGTCTCCGTCCCAAAACCAGGACGGAAACCGGACTGAAATGGATCTAATGCCGATGTTTCCTCCAGAAACCTACCAAGAGGTTCAGCAACCGCTCTCTCAATTACCTTACCCAGGTATGGAAGATTTGAAACTGGGCGGTAATTGGATAGGTCTAAGGGATTTGATGAAGTTTTCTTTAAGAGTGGACACACCACTGCTTCCTTCAGTTCCCCTGGGAATGTCTCCGTGTCAAGGGACAAATTGATAATTTCAACCAGGGGGGTCCGCGCAACATCTGGACACTCCCTAATCAGCCAAGATGGGCACGGATCAAGAAGGCAGGTGGTGGGCCTACCAACTTGGAGGAATCTATCCACATCAGTAGGGAGTATCCAATCGAAATGGTCCAACACTGGACCTGAAGTCAGTCGAGGGGCCTCCAGTTCAGTCACTGTATCTAAATTGGCAGGGAGGTCACGGCGGAGCAACAGGACTTTCTCCGCAAAAAAGCTCGCGAATGCCTCACAGCTGTGGGTTGAATTTGTGCTTAAATTTGGTTGTCCTCCTAAGGACGTTATTGACCTACTTATTCTAAAAAGTTGTGCCGGGCGAGAGCTAGTGGATGCAATGGAAGCTGCAAAGTAAGATTTCTTAGCAGCTTTCATAGCCATCTCATAGGCTTTCATAAGCGTCCTATAAGATGTTCTTGAGGCTCCGTCACGAGTCCGTAGCCATACTCGCTCTAGCCGTTTGAGATCCCGCTTCATTTTCCGGAGCTCCTCAGTAAACCAAGGGGCCCGGTTTCGACGGGGTCGCAGAGGGCGCTTAGGCGCGATCTCATCAATGGCTGCCAAGAGCCGGTTATTCCAGTCCTCAACAAGGTCATCTAATGAGTCGCCAGGAGGAGCAGGGTTCCGCAAGGCTTGTCGGAATCTATCAGGATATAAGTACAATGGCTGACCTTTACCTTCATACTAATTTATGTGAGCACACAGGAAAGGATCAAATTTGGCAATTAATTCAAGCAATACAAGAAAGCTACCATTGTTTAGTGAACCAAATGTTTCATCATCTCCCCTAAACGCCAATCAACTTTCTGCCAGAAGGGAAATCACTGCAAAAGCTCTCTAATAATCCTGCTCTGCTTTAATTTGCTCTTCGTGTTTGGATGTGAGTGTTTGACCATGCTTTCTTGTTAAATATGTTAGCGTAGAGCTGCTATAGTTTTTACGAGTTTCTGTGCATTTGAACAAGGTAAGCACGATGCCAAACGCTGAATCCGGTAGCAGCTGAAGTTGTAATTGAGGTCGTTTGGCTAGAGAAAAGTTTGCACACCAAACAGTAGACTTTTCCTTTTGTGGGAGAATACACTGGCCATCGCTGAGGGTAGGTTTTTCCCCATTTACTTCGATAGAATAGAATAAATTATTTGAGCAGAACTAGGCTTGGGTTACTGTACGTTCACTGGTTAAAGGTCCATCCCGGGGCTGACATTCCAACGGACCTTTCTCAATCCTCTTCCAAAAATAAATTACATTTATTTAAACAAATTAATCAGCCAGAGTGATCTATTTAAATCAATCAATCAGCCAGAGAGATTCGCTTTTATCGTTGTCTTCTTCCAGGCCGCTTTGGCGAGAACCACCCTTTGCCACCCTGCACAGATACACAAGACCTCCCCTCCCCTCAGCGCGCGCGCGGGCGACCGTTAGCCTTGGTAACGGCGAGGTCGCGCGCGCGTCTTTCCTCTTCCGTCGAACAAACGGCTCCAGCGGCAGGCTCTGGTAGGGGAAGCGGGGACGAGAGAGCAATAGAAGGCGGGGAGGAGCGGAGGGTTTATCTAGCGGTGACGGGCGTCCCATTTGCCCAGCCGCGTGTCCCTGAACTTTGAGAAGCTTCTCCGTTAGCCAATCACGGAGCTTTCCACACAAAGGTCGCTCCAATCGCAGGACAAGGGCCTGCGCTGTACTTCCCGATCCTTCGCGGCTGTCTTCTGTGAGGTGAACTGGTCCAGAGCATCCTCGTCGGTCTCTTCGCCTGACTCCCGGTTCGCGCGCCGGTTGCGGAGCCCCGAGTGTCCAGTATCCTCCTCACCCGCACTTCGCTGGTCATGTCTGCGACGTCTTTTGGGCAGGAGGAGGAGGAGGACGGCGCCTACGAGAGCCAGACCAAGCGGCTGAAGCCCAGCGCCGCCGCCGCCGCGGAGGGCGAGAGCCGCGAGGAGGTCGCCCCTCGCACCGGGGACTGCTCTGGAGGGGTAAGGAGGGCCTGCCTCTTCTAATCCTCGCCCTTCGCAGTGTTCGCCGGGAGTGAACGGCGGGTAGAGAAGACGCGCAGCAGCACCCCGTTGCCAGGTGCGCCAACTGCCAGGTCGGCGTGTGTAGTAGCATCGGGACCTTAACGCTTCCGTTTCTCCCCATCCTTCTCAATACACAAGTTGAATCCTAATATTTCCAAAAAGTTTTGTTCGTTAGGGATGTCACACATCTACCTGTTTTTATATTGTAAACCGCCCTGTGATCCTCGGGTGACAGGCGGTGTAGAAAATTAATGAATACTCACAATAATACAGTAACAACAATAATAATAAGCGTGCATGTGGGAAGAGGGCTGAGCATGTTTCAGAAAGATCAGTCTGTAACAGGAAACAGCATCTTAAGGTGTGACAGGTTTTTTATTTACATGTATGTAAAGAAAATCAGTGAGAGATTTTACTTTCTTGGGCTCCGTGATCACAGCAGTCACGAAATTAAAAGACGCCTGCTTCTTGGAAGAAAAGCAATGACAAACTTAGACAGCATCTTAAAAAGCAGAGACATCACCTTGCCAACAAAGGTCCATATAGTTAAAGCTATGGTTTTCCCAGTAATGATGTATGGAAGTGAGAGCTGGACCATAAAGAAGGCTGATCGCCGAAGAATTGATGCTTTTGAATTATGGTGCTGGAGGAGACTCTTGAGAGTCCCATGGACTGCAAGAAGATAAAACCTATCCATTCTTAAGGAAATCGGCCCTGAGTGCTCACTGGAAGGACAGATTGTGAAGCTGAGGCTCCAATACTTTGGCCACCTCATGAGAACAGAAGACTCCCTGGAATAGACCCTGATGTTGGGAAAGATTGAGGGCACAAGGAGAAGGGGACGACAGAGGACGAGATGGTTGGACAATGTTCTCGAGGCTGCCAACATGAGTTTGACCAAACTGTGGGAGGCAGTGGAAGACAGGAGTGCCTGGCATGCTCTGGTCCATGGGGTCACGAAGAGTCGGACACAACTAAACGACTAAACAACAACAAAGAAAATAATGGAATTGTAGAGTTGGAAGGGACCATGAGGATCATCTAGCCCAAGTCCCCTGCACTTGTGGATGAAGATTTAAGTGAGCCGGTGAGACCACTTTGTCAGATGCACCTGGCTTTGCCACCAGCCGACTGAGGATACGTAGGTCCGCTTTTACACATCAAAGGATTTATTGTGCAGGAGGCAAAATTTCTCTTGGTTTCCGCTAATAAAACAATGGGAAGAGGGAGGTGTTTTCCTCCATTCTTCACTTTTCTGAAGGCAGTTTGTTCTAACAACTCTGAATTGTGTTGTATATATAACTTCATATTTCATTCCCCTTTCAAAAGGGGCCTTCAAATTACTTTGTCAGTTAATCATCTATAATATTGTTTTTGATAGATTTAGATCTGAAAAATAAAGTCTATCACTTTCATTTCCTAGAATGCTGGTGGAAGTTTTCACAAAGTTCCTGTTTCTCCTGTGGTCCATGTCCGAGGGCTCTGTGAATCAGTTGTGGAGGCGGATGTTGTGGAGACGCTTGAAAAATTTGGAACCATATGGTATGTTTACTATATATTAGATCTTGGGTGACTCACAACAAGCTTTGTAATGTATTTTTAAAAGACCTCTTCAAGGCTTGTACTGGTACTCCTAAACTGAAGCCAGTGGTGGACCTACATTTTGGGAGTCCTGAAGCTTGACGGTTATGGGGCCCCCTTCGCAATCAGCAATGGAATCTGGGCAACAACTGTTATTTTATTCAAATGTGTTGTTCTGCGACAGAACATCACAGCACTACATCATCTGTGCTACCGACTCTCGAACTTTGGGATTGTTGAAATAATATTCAACAAAAATTAATCAATTTAAGTTGTGCAACTCAAATTAGGTCTACTAGACCCATTTTTAAAAAATTATGTGGACTAAGGTCACTTTTGAGGCTCCTTCGAGAACAGGGACACTGAAACTTAAGCCTCATTAGTTTCATAGTATATCTGCCCCTGACTGAAGCATTGGAAGTACCAAATCCTTCAAAAGTTAATTTCGAGGCAGATCGTTCTGCTTGTCTACATATGGAAGCTGGGTAAGAGAGCACCTTGGTTCTGTTTTTCTACATTAGATATTCATAATTTTATCCTCAGAACTTTGCATTTTGCTTTACAGTTGAAAGATGAGGTATGACTGATGTCACTCTTTGCTCCAAACTAAGCCCTTGGTTACATAGACACATTTGCTGTAGATTTCAACAAATGTTCCATTGACTTTAAGAAAGGTAGTAGATTTTTTTTGAGTTTACAATAAGAATTTTTAGTGTAAAGTCTTTTAAGATCAAATTTCACTTATGATTTACAATTGATGGCCTTAAATAATTAGAGCTCATTAATGGTTTTATTGTTTTTCCTGCAGTTATGTGATGATGATATCATTTAAACGCCAGGCTTTGGTAGAATTTGAGGATATTGAAAGTGCCAAAAAATGTGTGACATTTGCATTAAGTGAACCGTTATATATAGCTGGGCAACAAGCATTTTTCAATTACTCTACAAGCAAAAGAATTACTCGTCCGGAAAACACAAACAGTGTCTCTGGTGGGAACAAAGTTCTTCTCTTATCAATTCAGAACCCTCTATATCCAATTACAGTGGTACGTCTTACTCTTAAGCATAACTTTACCTAACCTTAGTGCATCATATTAGCTGCATAAGGTAAAATCCTTGTGTTTTAAGACCTTGGGTTTTAGCAAGTGCATTTGAGTGAGTCGTCTTCTTTCATTTTTCTTGCATACTTTGAGGTTTTTGAAATTATTGTTTTGATTCTGTGTATTCCCAATTTATAAATGCTATAAGACAAGTTAAAATTTGTTTAAGAGCACTAAAATTTTGGCAGTCTTATTAGATATCTGACTGCATAGAGATAAAACTGAATTTAGGCTTACTGCTTTGAATTGCCTTGTTTCATGGATAAACTTTAGAATGTTTGTCCCCTTTTCTCTCATCATTACATAACTACATAGTACACAAGAGACTTTCTCTCAGAAACTAAATCCAAACTTTAAATGGGGGTTATTTTGTTTGTGTGTGCTAATAAAATTTTGAATAGTATTTGTCAGGTAAATCTTCAAATCTCTGACTATTTCCCTCATTCTTCTGTAGGATGTTTTGTATACAGTGTGCAACCCTGTGGGGAAAGTAAAACGTATTGTCATATTCAAGAAGAACGCAATACAAGCCCTGGTTGAATATCCTTTTTGTATCACTTTGTGTCTGTGTGTGTAGATTATGTTGTAGGGCAGGGCAGTCTAACCTCTCAGACCAAGTGGGCCACAAGAGTACGGTACTTTGACACAGAACCTGGGGACCACACAGTGATTTAAATTTCCATATCATATATTAGAGTTTGCAATAAATATTATTTAATATGCACAATTAATATATTTAATTAAACACAGGCAGCCCCCCATTTGCGTGAGGGTTGTGTTCAGGGTCATCGCTCTCGTAAGCTTGCCTTACCCTCACCCTGCCGCCATTTTTTCCTCTTCTGGTGTCAAACATTGCATGTGCAGTCAGTCACACATGCCTTGAATGTGCACAAATTGAAAGTTGCCTGTATATATAATTAAATACACAATTAGTAGATTTAATATATTTTAAACAGATCAGAACCATTCTTTTTTTTTTAAAAGCAACCAAACAGATCCAAAAACAAGGATGCCGCAAGGTGTGGGGAGTTGCTGGTTGCAGGCAGGATTCCTGGCAGGAAAGAGAAGGGAGAGGGATAAAGCAAGGGAGTTCTTATTAGCTCTTGGTGAGGCAGTAGGGCACGGGGGGGGAGAGAGAGGAGAAGAAGCAACTCTGTGCTAGGGAATCACTGAACTCATCTCTGCACATAATCCAGCCTCTGGCCTACTTCCTTTTTCACAGCCGCTGTTTATATAGCAACATGGCAGCTCCTGCAGGCCAGAGGGAGCATCCCAGTTACACCTGTGATCAGCTGTTCTTTTCAGCTGTGGAAAGCATTTTGAATGGCTATCCTGTGTTTCTTGCCATTTATCACTAGGAGCCATCCCATTCTTTTCCACCTCATATCCCATCCTGAGAGCAGTGCAGACTATTACCTAAATTGGGGATGGGGAGCTTGTGGTTCTCTAGATAGTGTTTGAGTATTGCTCCAGTCATGCCTCATCACTGGCCATGCTGACTATGGTATTAGTCATTCATTCATACATAAAATTAGTGTTTTTGCATTTGTAACCGCATGTTAAATAAAGAGCCCTTGAGTAATTTCTAGGAGATCTACTGTGTTGTGGTTTAAATTCGCATGACTTGTGGCTATTTTGAGGGGGGGGGAGGCATTGTTTTAAACAACAATCCTTAACATAAATCAAGTTCAAATCGGTTCTCTGTGCTCAGAAGGCAAAAGCAGTGCTCAACGGAGCAGATATATATGCAGGATGTTGTACACTAAAAATAGAATATGCAAAGGTAATGATCATACTTTCTTCAGCGGCTAAACTGTTTTGGGAGGAAAGTAATGATTAAGACTTGCTATTTGTTTATATTTTAACAGTCAACTCGACTTAATGTCATTCGAAATGACAATTGTAGTTGGGACTATACAAAACCATATTTGGGAAGAGGTAAGTATTTTGGTAATTATACTAAATGTGCATTTAAATATATAAATATATGCAGTTAGCTTGTCTAATGTGTTAGTCACTTCAAGCCAGGTATTTCTGATGCAGCTCTTGTAATAGGCATCCTGACCTGTAATCCTGGAAAAGAATAACTCAACATTATTGCCCCTTGCTGGTTTATATTGAGCTATTTAACAAGGAGCCCACACATGCAAGCATGTTTGCAGTACAAGGACTTGCATTTCTCCAAGCAGCTCTCACTCTTTGGAGGAGAGGACACTGATGCAGACTTTCCTTACAAACTACAAACTTGCACACTGCTTCTCCACGGAAAGGATTTTCCTCACTTGTTGGACAAGGCATTAAGAAGGATAGAGGACTCCAGCAGGCTGACTCTACACTTCATCATGCACCACTTCGGCATCATCAACAGGCCCTCTGAAAAACCTCAGACTTGCAACTCACCTTGACTGCATACTGCATGCACCATCACCACAAGCATATCAAGGAGGACCACTTACAGCACTTCTGGTTTGCATGGCACGAAAATACCATGGTAGACTGTACCCATTCTAAACCAGTTTGCATGTGTTTCCAATCTTATGTCCCTTTAAAATTACCGTTGTAGAATGAAACACCATAAAATGGAAGATCCAAACTCTTGTTTCTCTCCTGGTTTTTTACCAGTGTAAATGCTTTCTAAAGGACTGCACTTACTTTAAAGATTAATTGAAATTCACCTGTACCCTGTCAAATGAGTCCCCGCAAGCACCAATATTTGATTCAAGGTCTAAAATGTCTGAGCATTTTTAATTGCAGAAACTAGTTGGAATAGTGTTTTCATCAGTAAAAAAACCTGCATGGAAATGTAAAAGGAATTGCTATGTAGTTTGATTTCTGTAAATGTTCTTTGTAACTGAATGATTTGTGTATAATCTGCTGTAATGTACCTTTTGAAAATCTAGGCATTTATAACATGGAGGTGGGAACTTAACCTTACCAAGGTAGAGTATCTTCTAAATTTTAAACATAGTGAAGGTTTCAACTTTCCTTTTAATCATTGCTGAAAGGTTGTTTTTACTGGTAGTGCTTTGGCTTGTAAAAATGTATTATTTAAAGGTTAGGGCTTGGACATGCAGAATTAAGTGTTTGTAAAAGGTTAATAAGGGGGCTGCAGTATTGGTTAGCAGATTGTCCACCTGCAGTACGTTACATTAAAGCTCATGTTCCCGCTCCTTCAAACTACCGAATTGGGAAGTCACTGAGTTACCTTGGGCAATTCAGTGGATAATTTTCCAAAATATATAGATGCATATTCAAGCAACTAGCAAACATGTAGTTCAGACTGTAATTTTAAACTGTGCCTTGGCTTAGTACATGAAAGATTGGGAAATGAGAAATATTTTCTTGAAGGAAAACAAACAAAACAGGTGCTCCCAAGTGTGTGGCAATGTCCGGTGGAATTTTTTATTTCCATTTCATCAGCAAATTCAGTGTCATATCACAAACTACTTTTGAAAGAAGCAGAAGTGTTGTTTTCTTCGTCCTCCCCTCTTTTATCCTTTCTCTCTCTTTCCTGTTCTCTTTCTCTCTTTCCAGACTTTTTGATTCTATTTGTTCTAGATATTCTTCTCTTGAATTGTGAAAACTTTAATAAAAATTGATTTGGAAAGTACTCTCAGTTTCAGACAGGGTTGCCATGTACTAGAGTGGCTCCTATATTGTGGCCTGTGTATGTGAAATGTAAAGCTCCCTTGGACCCGTGGAACAAGATATAAGCATACTGTTCTATCTTGTACTGAAGTAGAGTTGCTCCCTTGTTCCTTCCCATGTGTTTCAGGCAAGAAGAGAGCTGAATTTACCATTTACAGTTCATTTTGTAGCAATGTTCTTCCTTGAGCAGAGATGGGAAATCTGTAGCCCTGCAGGTTGTGTTGGACTCCAGCTCTCATCAGCTACACCTAGCATTGCCATTAGCCAGGCATGATGGGAGTTTTAGTCCAACAATATTTGGAGCGCCACATATATCTCATCCTTGCTCTAGACAAGAAGTGATGAAAGAAAACACAGTTACTTCTTTCTCCAAAATCTGTAACCAGCAACAGTCTTAATAAAGCAGCACGGAAAATGCTTGAGTATTTTTAATGTTGTGTACAGCATACTGATTGACAAGGAGTGGGCAGCTTCATCAGCTAGAGATGTAATACTTAACTGATTTTCTTGGCATTCTTACAGGAGTGGCCTACACAAAAGTGTCAATGTGATGGGCTGCTTTACATGCAAGATTCGGGGAGAATTCTCTTCATAAAACAGGCTTCCGTTCTGGTTTCTTCAGACAGGAAAATGTGCCCAAGTTTAGTGTTTAACCGAAATGCAGTTGATTTAAAGCAGGAGATTTGAGCTGATGGCTGTATTTATATAAAATTACATTTTGCATCCCAACCTTTTCCCTAAGTAGTTTGTTAGCTTCGTAACTATTGTCAGAAGGTAAAGCTTGGTTTTCAAGGGTACCCACTGATCTTCAGAACTGGGCAGTTTTAATCCTGATTTTTCATTTCCCAAGCTCAAGACTGCCATTGCATCCTACTCAAACATGTAATTCTGGTGACTGATGTTTGCTACTTCCGTTGTACAAAAATCCTGTCCTCTGTAACTTAAGGGCTGAGTGATGTGGCTAGTATGTGAGATGACTAGCACTTCCATTTTGGATAGCACATGCTGAAATCTGTGGAAATTTCTTCCTAATAATGGGCTTGTGTTCTGGGTGCCACAATCTCTCTTTACTCTCCCACTATCAGAATCAAATTATTATACGACTATCTAATTCCTTGGTTGTTTTAAATGTCTCAAACACTGGAAACAAAGCTTGAAATATTGTGCATTATCCAAACTGAGAAAGAACTGTATGCTACTTCAGCTGGATGTTTCTCATTTCCCATTGCTTAACAATCAGTTGCAGTATTGGAACTTCTGATTGTCTACTGAAAGCAAGAAGTGGATGTTAAAGCTAACTGCTGTTTCTTTTTGTAATACATGTTTAATTGCATATTGCAAATAATTACTTTAGGTTGGTGTACTGCTTTCATCCAGTACTGTTGACCCCTTGGTTAACTTTACATTCTAGTATAAAATGTGGCTTGTTGAAAGAAATTTTCATTGTTAAAAGTGCTTTTAATAGTTTTAATTTTTCAGTATTGAAAGTATAACATAGACTGTATTAATAGTAATGTATATTCTTCTCAGCACTTCTCCAGTTGTTGATGTAATTATGTATGTACACAAATATGGTGCTTTTCAGTTTACTGATTATGAAACCATGTAATATAATTTTTTGTTATATTATGCTGAAACTTCTTGAAAGAAACCCACTTTGAAAATGTGTTGCTGTTGAAGCTAATAGTGTGATACAGGTACTGTCCTTTGACTGTACTGCATTTACAACTTGTTTTTATGAGAGTTATAGGCAATTTACAATCTATGGCAGTGGTTTGAATGATGGTCAGGGGTGCTGCGGGCAACACTAGCCTCTGTCCCTCTTTCCTTCCCTCCTGATGCTATCTCACCTTTCTGCCGCCCAAAGGCTTGCATGGCTGTTTGTTGCTGCAGCTCTAGCTACAAGCCCCCCAGGTGACTAGTGCCTCTAGGGCTGGCCAAGTGGTGCTTCCCAGGCCCCTGTGGGGCAGTTTGAGAAGGCACCTCTCTTTGGGGCAGATATCGGGTCAGCAGCTGCGACTGCCCAGAGTACTCCGAAGGAGAGGGAGGAAGAGATGAAGGAAGATTTGCTGAGGGAACCCTCCACAAGGGAGGGGTGAGGGACTACCAGCTCTGCAGGCAAGGGGTGACATAAGTGGGCTTCTGAGCCCTGTAGGGTGCTGCAGAAAGAAAGTAGTTGGTCAACAGAGCCGTGGACCCAAAACAGTTGAAAACCTCTGGTCTATAGTATTAGGGTCCAGGCTTCTCAGGCTTAAAGTGTCAAATCTTCTCAAACAAATATTATCAAGCCAACATTAATATTGGCTTCTTACAACTGTGTTTTTGTGCTGGAGCAAATCAGCTTATAATAGGTTGTTTAAAGTATCCAGATTAAAATCTTAGAGTAACATTGAAGTATCCAGCAGTGTTCTTCTTAACCAGAAAATATTACCCCTTCCCCGCAGTTGCTTACTGATAAACTCCAATATCTTTAAGGGGGGCTGCTATTGTTTAATGATGCTTTTCTTTCTCCTTTAGATAGAGGGGAAGGCAGTCAGAGGCAAGCTATTCTGGGAGAGCACCACTCCTCATTTAGGCATGATGGCTATGGTAGGTTATATGGCTTCCAGTTACGGGTTATATTGAAAATGGGTTATATGGTGAATATAGTTGTATATGTCTAGATTTTCCTCCTATTTTTTTGTTTGTGGTGCCATCTTAATGTATTCTGCAATCTATAGTATAAATCCTTTCCCCACCACTCTTGGGCCAACACTTTTTAAAAAGTCTTGCTACATTAGTCAGGCACCACATTTGTCTGTCTCATTGTGCCCCCTCATTTGCCCTATCGCAGGGTGGGGAACCTCATGCCTGGTGGTCGCTTTTGTTCTCCAGGCCTTTCTGTTTGACCCCAAAACTCTTACCAGGCCACTCCCCTCATTGGCCCTGCTTTGTGCCCTAAGTGTTTATGTCTGCCTAGAATGTGTCTTTGAACTCCGATGATGCCTCTTGCTTGGCTGGAGGGCTGACAGAGGTGTGGGAGGCTGTGTAGAAACAAGCCTATTGTGCAAAGGTAAATTTTATATTTGTTGCTCCACCCACTGCTGCGTCTGACCCTGCCCACGACTGGCATGTGGCCCTAAGAAGGTTGTCCACAAGGGAATTTGGCCCTTGGGTAGGGAGGTTTTCTCATGCCCTGGTGCCAAAAGGCACATCCATTTATGACCAGTTTTTCATGATCTAATTTTTTTATTTTTAAATGCCAATACATTTTGGTAATAACCAGAGACTTTACATGGCTCACTATAAATCAAGTTGTCATTCTGTGAGCAAACAATATTTTTTTCCAAGTTGCAGTTAACTTTGTCACAGTAAAGATGAAATGTTGCTTAATACTTCTCTCTTTGCACACAAAAAGCGCCTCTAAAAACAGATTGAAACTTGGAATCGCACACTTAGACCACAAGCTAACAGTTAGATGTGCTGAAGGTCATTGAAATCAATACAGTCCTTTATTCTTAAGTCTGGCTTGTGGTTTTAGGTGTTTATCCACTGTTAGTCGTACTCAGATTAGACCCATTGAAATTAATGCACATGACTATCTTAAACTCATTAATTTCATTTGGTGTGCTCTGAGTCGAACTCCCTTGGCTCCAGCCCCTACATCATTTCAAGTTAGCTTGTTCCTTGGAGGCACATGGGGAAGGGGAAATTGTATGAATTATATTTTGGTTGATGTGAGTTAACATTCTTGTCTAGATAGACCATGTTTTGGGAGTTGATACTAAAGCTGCATAGCTCATTCTAGCAAAACCTTAATTGCTAAGATGTATTAGTAATTATTGGAAAACTGGCAGCTCTTAAAACTTGGCAGCTTTAATCTTCATATCCGGCCAATTAAACTTTTCCAACCAAATTCACTAAAGAATACTTTCTCTTTAGGATCGCGTGGGCCTCTGTTACCACTACCAAGCCGATACCAAATGGCATCTCGGGATACTCCAGAACTTGTGGCTTACCCACTTCCCCAGGCCTCCTCATCTTACATGTATGGGGGGAACACCTCAGGTTCTGTTGTCATGGTTACTGGATTGCACCAGCAAAAGATGAACTGCTCAAGAATCTTCAATTTGTTCTGCTTGTATGGAAATATTGAGAAGGTAAAATCAAAAAAGTTTAGGCAATGAAATTTAAAGAATAATTCATGATTACTGTGAAGAGAACACAGCATCATGCATATTCCAACCAAACCGAAAATTTCCTAACTTACCATTCTTTAAACCTGCAGGTGAAGTTTATGAGGAGCATTCCAGGCACAGCTTTAGTGGAAATGGGTGATGAATATGCTGTTGAAAGAGCAGTCACGCATCTCAACAATATCACATTATTTGGGAAGAGAATTAATGTTTGGTATGTGTGCATTCCATCTTGGTACTAATACTAAAGCACACCTATAATGTATGTGTCCAGCAGTGTAAGATATTAAAATACTGCTGAATAAAGTTTTTTAAAAGAATACTGTCTATAGAAGATCTGAGTAAAGCATACACATAATTACAGTGGAAACAGCACCAGCCCTTTCATTAAAAGCAGTCAATCCCCCCAAAGTCTGCCAAAATAAGAAAGTCCTCACATGCTGGCAGAAGGACAAGGTTATTGCTCCCTCTGTGCCTGAATTATCAATCTGATTATTGTGTAAGAGGTTCAGCAGTGTAAGATACTAAAAGTGCTGCTGAATAAAGTTTTATTTAAAGAATACTGTCCATATATGCAAAGAGTAAACTTTGTTACAAAAGTAATGTAAATATTTCTATATTTCATTGATCTCCTTCCATAACTTGATAAATGCATGACTGACTTCACTACTTGACACGTAAAATGTAGATTATCCCTCTGTGTTCATGTTTTGTTACTATGCTTTGTGAATTCTGTAAAAAATAACACCTTTTTTACTGCAAAAAGTTTTATTAATTATGTGCTCTTTATTTATAGTGTATCCAAACAGAATTCAATTATTCCTAGTCAGTTATTCGAGCTGAAAGATGGGACAAGCAGCTCTAAAGATTTTACAATGAGCAAGAACAATCGCTTTACTAATGCTGGTCAAGCTTCCAAGAATATCATTCAGCCACCATCTTGTGTGTTGCATTACCATAATGTTCCGCTGTGTGTAACTGAAGAGAACTTTGTAAAGGTAGGTAGCTGCAGGAGTCATAGCTTTTATATGTAATTTAGCAGATTCCCTTTTTTATGTCCTAGAGTAGGGGTGGGAAATTGCATCTTGCAGATCTTACACTCAATAATACGACATAATGACATCAAATGATACCTATCAGCTTTCAAAGGAGATCAGTGTAACCACATCAGCTGATGGGACAGTTACAACAATCTTGTTTCAAGTTCCCATGCACCTTCAAAGAGACTTGCTACATCCATTTGTACATTCTGGTTTGAATTGAAGCCATCTGTTTTGAAACTGCTTGCTAAGATGAAGAAAACAATCTTGCTTTAGCAAGCTGTTTCAATGCAGTCAACTTCAAAACAGACCACTTGGTGCACCAAAGATTATTCAGTGCAGAGCTCCCTAGTTCAGGAGGTTGTCTTGGGTCAGTGCCAAACAGTTTATTGGTACTGACAGGGAATGCCACTTGCAAAGGAACAGTTGAGAGCTGACTTTAAACTCATGATTGTTCCCTTGTCTCATGTTTCATTATCTTAAGTAGAATATCTTGTAATTTTCAAAATTGGACAGCAAGATGTTTCTGTCAAGAGTTTAGCATGAGACTGTAGGATTTCTGGGCAATGGAGGGACACTTCTCTGGTGAGTTTTTACCCTATAATCACTTTCTTAAAATTAATGGGGTTCCTGATATCTCGACCCATTTTGTGCCAAGTGTCCTCCTTATCACATAAATTACCAGTTTCTGTAACTCAGAATCACATCCTCTAGAATTAGATTGTTGCTGTTTAAATGAACATATTTTCACTTTATTGTTCCAGCTGTGTGATGATCATAAAGTTCTACGTTTTATCAAACACAAAGTATTTGATCCAAAGCGTAAGTAAATATTTGATTCTATTTAAGTTCTCAAAGAAACTTAACTTACTGATGGTGGTGTGAAGCAACCATTTTAAACTCTTGTTTTGACAGCTTCAGCCAAAACGCTTTCTGGTCTGCTGGCGTGGGAATGCAAGACTCATGCAATGGAAGCACTTTCCGTACTTAATCACTACCAAATAAAAGACCCTAGTAAGTCAATGTATTAAAGTATTCTTTAGCTTTATATTTTATCTCTCTATATCATTTGGATAAAGGGTTTTAGGGATGTATTTTAAACATTTTATATGCCATCTCATTAATATAATACCAAGATGCTGTGCAATAAAACATTTCTGTGCACAATTAAAACCACCAAGAAACACCACAAATACAGTAGCCAGGTTGTGCTAGGATATAACACTTGCTGGGCTTGGTCAATATTTTCCTATGGTCTTTAAAATGCAAAACATTTTTGTTTTCTTCCTTTGAAGTCAAAGGACTTTTTCATATGGTTGAACGGTTTTAACAGTGTATTTTCATTTACACAACATTCTTATAAATCCTCATCATACTGACTCAGTTTGCACTTAATGCAGAGCCCAGCTGCGTTGCCACAAACAAGCAAACACGGGCTCATGGATTGTGGCCACACTGCTCATCTCTGGTGGCTTTACTGCTGCACTGACCTAAGCCATGGCCTGTTTTAGCTTGTTGTCTGAACCTAGATTCGTGGTTTAGCTCTCCCCAGAGAAACGGAGCTGAGAAGTTTGTCCTGTGGTTTACAGCTTGTGGTTTGCGTGGGAGAGCTAACCCAAGCGTGTGTGTTTAGATGACACGCCAAGTGTAGCAAAATGCTGAGGGTGGAGAAAAAGGGCCTGAACATTTGTTGGTTGTGCTAAGTCATGGTTTGGCTTGGTGTTACATGTGAATAAGGGCACTGAAAACAAGCTGAGCTGTAAAATGGTAACTGGTTACTTTCTCTGTACTAAAGTGATAGTAAGGAGTGGAAAACCTGGTTTAGTACAGGCATGATAATGTGATAATTCTTCGCAAGTGCAACTGTGATGGAAGGCATGGGAACCACATCTTATAAAGCAAGAGAAACTGCCATACAGTGGTACCTCTGGTTATGTACTGAATTCGTTCCGGAGGTCTGTTCTTAACCTGAAACTGTTCTTAACCTGAAGCACCACTTTAGCTAATGGGGCCTCCCACTGCTGCCGCCGTGCGATTTCTGTTCTCATCCTGAAGCAAAGTTCTTAACCCAAGGTACTATTTCTGGGTTAGCGGAGTCTGTAACCTGAAGCGTATGTAACCTGAAGCATATGTAACCCGAGGTACCACTGTATTTTCATTGAACTGGTTCCGTAGAAAGATTGTGTTTTCTGTATAGGGGAAGAAGGTTGGATTGAGTTCTGATGCATTATACAAAGCAGTAGTGTGCTAGAAATAAGAGTAGTATTTTAGAAGCAATTTTTCACAGTAGTCAAACGTTTGTTAAAAGAAATCTCTTTTCTCAGACTAACAGGCTGTCGTAAGGCACACCATCCAAAATGGCATTTATTCTTAACAGTTTCCCTTTTATCTTACAGATGGCTCTGATCCTTATACATTGAAGCTTTGCTTCTCTACTTCCTCTCATTTGTAGAGCAGAGGACAATATGTTAAGGAGCTCCTTCCATCTTTATTTACAAACTTGATGAAATCATGTTGCCTGCAGGCTCTAGGTTTTCTTGTCCCGATCTAACTTAAGTTCACTTTGTTTTATCTAAAGGGGTTTGAACTGCCTTGTAGGTAACATGTTCAAAACCTGTATACAGACCTTAAACACAGTTTCCATACAGCAGTAAAATGTACATTTACAATCACTATTTTCCACTTTGGTTTAAATGACAAGTTGGATTATTATACTGGAATATTAGATATAAAATTATTGGTTCCTCCTCCTGGTTAAAAACTGTATGTGTTGCAGCAATTTTAAAAGCAATACTAAATTTGTAAGCCCATTTCACATTGGTATTTTGTAATGAAACAGTCACTGATTGTTAAGAGAAACTTCACAGGAGAAAAGAATATGGTGTTTGTTTTTTGCAGAAGGGTTGCAACTTACTTTAAATAGTGTCTTCTCAGAATAATTTTTTACTCTCATTAGCATGATGTCCTTATCATTAATCCTAACCTGCAACATCCTTACAAAAAATAAATGCTGAAACCTCAATGAACAGTTTCTCATTTGTTTTGTGATTCTACTCTTTGGTACTAAATTAAATTGCTTATTGTCATAGGGTGGTTTTAAGCCCTTGTATTAACCAGGCTAGGGAGGGAAGAGACCCAGAACAGCAAGGCAGACTATGGCCTACTGGGTGTCATGGACTGGCTGAATGTAGACCCAAGGGAAAATGACTCAGAGCCAGAGGGTGGTGGAACAACTCTGAGTGGTCAGAGGGAGAGGAGGGAGCAGACCAAGAGGAGGAGGTGTCAGAAGCTGAAGAGGTAACAGGGTTCAGTGAGCAGGAAGAGGCTGTGGCAGAGAGCAGCCCAGAATCAGAAACGGAGAGGGGGCCAAGAGGCAGTGATGAGTCCTGGTAGGTCTTACCCCAATGAGGCAGTTTCAAGGACCCTACAGAAGTACAGAGAGAAACTCACACCTACTCAAAACTCCTGCGCCGCTTACTTCCAAGTTGGCGTGTGCAGCATCAGGACCGTAATGGCAGTCCCTCCCCATCCTTTGCAAAACAAATTGTAGCAGGAAAAGGGATTTTTTAAAAAAAACCTAAATAATTACAGTTTTTCTACTAAGTTTTGTTCATTATGTGTTTTTATATTGTAAACTGCTCTGTGATATTCAGACGGAATTCAGTGAATAATACTAATGATAATGATAATACTCTGCTCCTCCACAGTCCTTCTAACCCAGTGTGGTGGGACAGTGAAGTCGGGATTTGGCTTAGAATGCTTTCCAAACCTAGGCATGCATATGTGCATAGTCCCAGTAAGCCATGGTTTAGTTTATCATTGTGTGCAAACATGGCTTCTCTTTCTCACTCAAACATACACTCTAAATCAGGCTTCCTCAACCTTGGCCCTCCAGATGTTTTTGGCCTACAACTTCCATGATCCCTAGTTGGCAGGACCAGTGGTCAGGGATGATGGGAATTGTAGTCTCAAAACATTGGAGGGCCGAGGTTGAGGAAGCCTGCTCTAAATGGAAGGTATGACCGCAGGAGAAAGTGCAGAGCACCTGCAGAACAACATAATTTTAAAACTTAAAGGAATTTTAAAGCAGTTTAAACCTGCAGTGATAGGATATAGCTATGGTAAGGTAAAGGTAACTTTGTGACAACAATTTTAATGCATGTGCTCATGCTTTAAAATTGCAATAGGTGGCATTTGCTTCAGTTTAAAAAAAAAAATACCTTCAATGCTAATATTTTTTTGATGTGCATGTGACTTCACTGTGAGCGCTCTTTCTTTTATCTTTTCCTTTTTTGCTCACTCTGTCTACCCGGAAGAAATTTCCTTGTGTGAGTCCTTAGCTTGCATCTCACTACTAAAAAAATTGTTCTGTTGATCAGCTGTTGGTTAGGCTGGATACAGGGGACTGCGTCTCTCTTGACTGAAGAGCTGATTGCTGCAAATACTACTTTTCTACCAGACTGCATACACAGTCTTGACAGCTGAATGCCCTTGCATGTGGATGTGCATCCCCTCTCTCTAGATAGGCAGTGACAAATATTTATCTGAACTTGTATATGAGAATTAATTTTCATTAACGAAAATAAAGCATAGGCTGCAATCCACACAACCATACCATTAGTTCTGCATTTTAAAAGGAGTCCTGGGCAATTATGTGGTTACACATGGGCATGTGTGTTTCCTTTCTAATTGGAGGGCAATGAGGTGGAAAACATGCAAAACCAAAAGCACTTGCATAGCGCAACTCAGATAAGCAGTATAAAACTTGCTAGAAACAACCCCGCTTAAAATTAGGAAGGGGCATTACTTATTAATTGAGGGTTGCTTTAAAAATCTTCTGAAAAATGCTCCAGATCAAATCCCAATGAACTGCATATAGGAACACAGGAAACAGATCATTGTTCCATTTTTGTTCCATTACAGATTAGCAATGTTTTGGACAGGGCTCTAGCAGCTCGAATTGCACCAAACCAGGGGCCTTTTGCAAAGGGCTGTCTTTGGTAAGCAGAAGCATTCTTTCAGCATACTGAAATTTCACAATCCTAATACAGTGTGTTTCCGGACGAAGGTTGGTTGTGGAATTGGTGTTGGTCATGCAACACAATTTTTTCACACCATCCACAAGACATAGTCATCAACAAAATGCCAACCTTTAATCCAGTTTCCTCTTGCAGCATGAAATATGTTAAGTAAAATTGTCTGTTATACACCTGCTGTCACCGATGGTGTGGAAGCTTTTTTGTCCTCTGAAAACGGGGAAAAACACCAGTATTGTGATGTTTCAGTGAGCCTTGGTATCTCCCCACATGAGTGCAACCCAGCCATTTCATGTCTGACCAAATGATATATGTGATAAGGTACGGTGCTTAGAAACCAGAGACACCCCCATATTGCTAAATTTAGCTGAGAAGCGAAAGCTTAGCGAATGCTTGTAGAGCTTTTACTGTGCAAAGACCACACAGAAAAACAGCAGGCTTTTCTTCAGTTTGGTTTACTGCGGTTCAAAAATCATACAGTTCATGCTGAGATGCATCAAGGTCCAAAAACTTAGCTCCCTAGAGCAAAATTCAGTTACAAACAGTAAAAATTACACCACACAGTATAATGCAAAACAAAAAGCACAAAAATGTACAGTCCAGCCCGAAAGATCAGAAGAGTAGCTGAGCTGCCCATTAGACAGTAATTATAGCCTGTTCCCAGAGCAGTTGACCTTGAAGTTCAGATAGCACACAGCCTGTAAACAGCCGCTGTGCTTCCAGAATCCAGAGACACTTAAAAACTGCAAGATTTTCTGGTGGCTTCTGCACCTATAAAACTTACTCCTTGACAATATGTGCACCAGTTTTCACTTAATGGAGCACGCTAAAGATGTGCTGGAATTTCAACAATGCAGGCCAGAGGACCTATTATCTCAAGATCTCAACATATGGAGCTTGTGATCAGAGTACGCACATCATGACTTAAAAAAAATAATAATATTTTTAATACAGGAGTCTTGTGGAATACCTCTTTGTCAATTGATGCTTCCAGATTGATGCAATTCCTTTTTTTGGGGGGGGGGATGCAATCACATACCAGCAAATTTATGTTGTGCAATCAAAGTTGATTTGAAGATCTTGCGCAACACACCCACTTCCGCTAAAGATCAGACTTTTTTGTGATAAGGGAGGTGACAGGAAAATGCACTGCTTGACACAAGGTTTTAACTTCCCAGCAAATAAATCAGGATGATTGTTCATTAAACAGGTGGTCTGGAAGTGACTGATGTTGAAGAATCACGCAGAACAGCCAACTCTCCTTGCCTTTGCTCCTTAGTCCGTTGTCCCTCCTATGCCAGACATAACTCTATTCTAGCTACATGACACTCAAACCTCAGTACAGTGGTACCTCGGGTTACATACGCTTCAGGTTACAGACTCTGCTAACCCAGAAATATTACCTCGGGTTAAGAACTTTGCTTCAGGATGAGAACACAAATTGTGCAGTGGCGGCGCAGTGGCAGCGGGAGGCCCCATTAGCTAAAGTGGTGCTTCAGGTTAAGAACAGTTTCAGGTTAAGAACAGACCTCCAGAATGAATTAAGTTCTTAACCCGAGGTACCACTGTATTCAGTATCAATGTGCCTTTAATTAAGAGACGTTGAAGCTAAGCTGGAGGTGGTTATTGTGTCATGCTCTGCTGATGCGTTTCCCTAGAGGTATCTGGCTGACCAGTCTTTGAGAAAGATCACTCCAAGGATATAGGTATTATCAAGGAAGGCAATTTTTGTATTTTTACAAGTTGCAAGACTGAACTAGCCTATCACACTGAAATCAGTAATTGATGGAAATGTTCAAGATTGGTGTGTTAGTTTCTCCAGCTACAATCCTGTGATGCAAATTAGCCTGAAGAAGTCCAAGTCCACTCATAAAGTTCTAAAGTTGAACAAGGATTCAAACCTAGCTTTCACAGATAAATCTAGATTAGTATTCTGGAACTGAAGGTACCTAGGCAAATCTGCCTCCTAGCAGATCACAAACCTATAAACTTTGAAGCTAAGTTGATGTTGACACCTAAGACCACTTCAGCTAGGCTGAGGTCCATCTTGACCTCTCAATCCAGGGCATTTTGAAGCCTAAACCGGGAAATGTAAATGTCACCTGCATTACTGGCTAAATATATGAAATAAATGGAACTATTTGCAGTCTTTAAATGGTTCTCCAAAACTATCACTTCACCCTACTTAATGCTAGGCCTTAGCCTATCAAGTAACAGTAGGTTAATACGTTTATTAGTCCCAACTAGAAGGGCTCCAAGAAGTAAGCAAGCCTTCAAGTTCCTAAAAACGCTTATTAATGAGGCTAAATGCTATGCAAAAAGTGGAGGGAAGTTTATGTTGGTGGCAAGATGAAAAGAACCATCAACACTTTGTAATAACCTCTAAATCAGGGATGTCCAACACGTCGATCGCGATCTACTGGTAGATCCCCGCGATGTTTTGGTAGATCGTGGTCGATCTCTGGCTCCCAATCCTCTACGTCGGTAAATCTGACTCCTGCCCCACCTCCTCATCCCGCCCTCCATTGTTGTTTGAACTCAGGAAGGGAAGACGGAGCTCCCTCTGTGTGGCTGCTTTCATCCATAGCAATGTTTTCATGTGTGACTTAACCCCAACTTCTCTTGCCTTCCTTCCCCACCCCAAAATGGAACTCCCTCCCCAAAGAAGCCTGCAGCTTAACCCAAAAATGGGGCTTTCCTCCTCACAAAAAAGGGGTAGATCACTTCCAGATTTTAATTCTGAAAGTAAATCGCAGTCTCTTGGGAGTTGGCCACCCCTGCTCTAAATGAAGTGAGGGAGGTACTGAAATTCTGCCCGTTTACTTAGAAGTAAATCTTGCAGTAGTCAATGATATATCCCGCCCCAAACAAAAATTATTTTTATTCTCCAAATTATTACAAACCAAATTAATTTTATACAATTTCTTAAAATCAGGTTTCCCGCTCCTGTTCGAAACATATGAGCGGGATACGCCAGTGGTGCGGCGGCAGAAGGCCCCATTAGCGAAAGCGCGCCTCATGTTAAGAACGTTTTTGGATTAAGAATGGACCTCCAGAACAAATTAAGTTCATAAACGGAGGTACCACTGTACCTTCAAACAGCCAAGCCCAGTCCTTTCAGCAGCTGACTGATTGCATACTATTAGCATATGTCGGTCCAGGAGCACCTCTTGATTAATGCCAATTGTCCGAATTATAGAGGAACTGTTTAGGGAAGCTTTTAATGTTTGATGCATTACTGCATTTTAATATTTTGTTGGAAGCCGCCCAGAGTGGCTGAGGAAGCCCAGCCAGATGGGCGGGGTATAAATAATAAATTATTATTATTATTATTATTATTACCACAAATCATGCCGGAGACAGAGGCTCGTCCATGGCAGGGACATGCTCCCAGATCGCACCCGCTCTGCCTTTCAAGTTGGAATACATGGGCTTGCACAGCAAAGCAGGATGCAGTGAGCTCTCCAGACCCCACTGGGGAATATTGCCAGGATTTTTGCCTCATAAATCCTGGCTTTCCCCTGCCTGAACCAGCATCGACTCCTGTTGTGACCAGAAACCAGTTATCAATGATTCTTCACTCCCACATAAATGTGCACAAGCCTTCGGTCTCAACTAGGTTAGGCTCTGCTTGGTGCAGAGATCTCAGGCTGCACCCAAAGGCTACACAGGCCTGCTTTCCTTTCATCAACCAAGACAGAACTAGTGTTTATATTTTCAAAGAGAGATCATCCACATTTCTCTATGCCTGCAGCCTCAGCTGCAACTAGAGTTTCTGTGTTTTGGCACCTAGTGTGACCCAACTTAATTATGGCTGCAAACCTATTCCTATTTATCAGGTTGTTGAAAACCCCAGTGAACATTACTTCTAGGTAGTAGTAGTAGTAATAATAATAATTATTATTTATTTATACCCCGCCCATCTGGCCGGGTTACCCCCGCCACTCTGGGCGGCTTCCAACAGAATATTAAAATACAATAACCTACTAAACATTAAAATATTCCCTAAACAGGGCTACCTTTAGTAAACATGCATAGGCTTCCATCTGTATTAAAACACTTTCCCCCCATCCCAATTTACGATTATAACGAACTGCAGTGGGACTTTCCTCTCACCTTGCCCAGCAACCAGCACCTTCTCACCCTCACTCCATTATTATTATTATTTTTGCATGTTTGTGTTTACACAACATTTAGCCTCATGAAGAAATACGATGAACCTGGAAGTTTGCTCACGTCCTTGTGATCACTCAGATCATATATATATATATATATATATATATATATATATATGCGCGCGCGCGCAAACACGCAGGCAACTTCTTAAACGTATTCTTGGTGGGGAACTATTCCCAGCAGCATCAGCACCCAAAAAACGTGAGGATGGCTGTTAAATGCTGCCCTCTTCCAAAAACAAATCAATCAGCCAGAGGGATTCGCTTCCTCAGTTGTCCTCTTCCAGACCGCTTTGGCGGGAACCGTCCTTCACCACCAGACGCTCATACACAAAGCCTGCCTTCACCGCAGCGCGCGCACGTTGCGACCGTTGGCCATAGTAACGGCAAGGGCACGCATGCGCGCGTGGCTGCGTCTCCCTCGCGCTTCTCTCTCCAGTCGAGGAATAAAGGGAATCCAGCGGCAGATTCTGGAACGGGAGGTGGGGACGAGAGAGGGATAGAGCGAGACATACGGGGGCGGGATGGGGGAGAGAACAGCGTTTTCATCTAGCCGTGACGGGCGTCTCATTTGTCCAGTCGCGTGTCCCCGATCTTCTGAGAAGCTTCTCCGTCAGCCAATCACGGACTTCCAGCTTACATGTCTCTCCAATCGCAGGACAGGACCTGCACTGCCCTTCCCGCCCTCCGTTCCCCGCCCCTTTGCGTGCGTTATAGCAGCGGTCTTCTCTGAGGAGAATCGCTCACGAGCATCACCGGCGCGGGCCTGTTCCGTCGGCCTCTTCGCCTGTCTTTTGCGGAGCCCCGAGGGTCCCGTATCCTCCCTCACCTCCACTTTGCCGGGGCCGCCGCCGCCGCCATGTCCTCGCCGTCTTCTGGGGAGCAGTACGAGGAGGAGGAGGACGGCGCCTACGAGAGCCAGGCCAAGCGGCTGAAGCCCAGCGCCGCCGCCGAGGAGGGCGAGATCGAGTACGGGGCTGAGGAGGGCGAGAGCCGCAGGGAGAAGGCCGCCCCTCGCGCCGGGGGCTTCTCCGGAGGGGTAAGCAGGGCCGGCCTCTTATAGTCCGACGCGCTGCGAGCGAACGGCGGGTGGAGGAGACCCGCGTCAGCCCGAGCCGAGGTGCGCCTACTCGGGAGTATATCTCCTGCGCGCCTTACTCCCAAGTAGGCGTGTGTAGCGCCGGGAGCCTAATGCTTATACCCGCAAATTGAAGAGGGTTTTTATACAAAAAAATCATAAAAAGGAGAATCCCAAGTTTTTCTACTAAGTTTTGTTCCTTATTAGCCTTATGCATTTTCGTGTTTTCATATTGTTAACCTCCTTGAGATCCTGGGATGAACGGCGGTGTAAAAAATGAATAATAATAATAATAATAAGCGTGCATGTGGGAAGAGAACTGGACATGTTCCAGAAGGATTAGTCTGTTATGGTAAACGACATTTTAAGGTGCGACAGTTTTGTGTTTTTTTCAATGTCAACTTGTGGAAGAAGAAGATTTAATGAGCCGGAGAGACCCCTTCGTTGGATGCATCGTGGGGTTTGCCACCAGCCGACTGAGGATGTGTAGCTCCGCTTTTGTCCATCAAAGGATTTATTGTGCGGGAGGCAAAAAAAAATATTTTCGCTTCCTCTAATAAAACAACGGGGAGAGCGAGGTGTTTTCCATTGTTCACTTTTCTGAAGGCAGTTTGTTCTTACATCCCTGAATTGCGTTGTATTTATAACTTCGGCTTCCATTCCCCCCCCCCCCCCCGCCGAAATGCGGGGAGAGAGAATTGTAGGTGGAAACTGAGTATTGCAACCTCCATATGTGTACATATTCACATGTTTTCATCCCTTAATGAGATAAGTAAGCTGTGTGCACAGGGTGCGGGGAATGATGACCATCTGTGTCCTTTCCTTGCAATAAAGAATAGTATGTTTCATTGGAGGTGCTCTGGCGTCCATGGCTTTTTTTCATAGAGAGCCCTGCAGCGTTTGGCAGGGAATGTATTTGTTCTCTCTGTGTGTGCGTCATACCCGTCAAGCATAGGAACTACACTATAGAGAAAAGAGCCAGAGGGCTTTTGTCCTTTATTAAACAGTTGATCAGCAGTTGGAACAAATAAACCTAAGGAGATTGTGGAAGCTTGGACATTCTTAAGAACAGACTGGACCTGTATCTTTAGGGGGAAATCCAGTATTGTAGGATAAACCTCTGTTAGGGGCGGGATAATTGCATTTGGATCATTTGGATTAGCACATTTTTATTAATTGATAAATAACATTGAAATAATCCAATTTGTTGGGCACGTATTTGATGTCTGTTATGGTCTGAATTCTTCACAGCCAAATTTAAACGCCCATTTCCCCATGTACAACCAAGGCAGCACAAATAAATTTCTCCGTTTTGAACATTTGTACTGTTACTATTAAAATCTGTTATTGTACTGTTATTAGTAAAACTAAGTGTGGAATTTTCAGTCTTCAAAGCCTAAAGCAAGAAGACGCATGTACAGTGGTGCCCCGCAAGACGAATGCCTCGCAAGACGGAAAAACCGCTAGACGAAAGGGTTTTCCGTTTTGAAGTTGCTTCGCAGGACGAATTCCCCTATGGGCTTGCTTCGCAAGACGAAAATACCTTGCGAGTCTTGAGATTTTTTTTTCGCTCCCCCCCCCCCTTTATCTAATCTGCTAAGCCTTTAATAGCCTTTAATAGCCTTTTAGCAGCTAATCCCCTAAGCCTTTAAGCCTTTAATAGCCGCTAAACAGCTGATAGCGCTAATAGCGCTAATCCGTCAATGGGCTTGCTTCGCAAGACGAAAAAACCGCTAGACGAAGACTCTTGCGGAACGGATTAATTTCGTCTTGCGAGGCACCACTGTATTAAGAAACATGTAGTGCTATTATAGCTGCTAGTACACAAGGTACTTTTTCATTTATCATTACAACCTCCCTTTGCAGTATGTTAGATGGAGATAAAATTTCTTTATAAGTTGATTCTACTTCATGATACAAAGTCAGCTGATCTCTGAAGCTGTTTCACTACATATTGCCATTCCCATTTTGTTCATATTCTGTCTGGCTAAGATCATGCAAAAACATTTGTCAAGTTTATCTCAGATTGGGACAGTTCAGTTTTGCACTATAATTGGAGTTTAAGAAAGATGTTAATAGAATTTTGTTACATATTACAAGATCCAAGAGCTCCCTTCATAAAAACATCAAGGCTCTACTTCCTTCCCCCTACTGTCCATATTTTTACAAAAGGTTTGGTTGGCATCTGTTACAGATAAATAAAATTGCTGTTATGAGTATTTAATTTTAGAAATTCAGACGGCATTGCATATTTCACTATTGATTAGTTATTTTTAGCTCCTGAGATTTGTGCTGTCTTGTTCGGGAAGCTAAGGCTTGATTATGATCATTCTGCTTAGTTTGTTTGCTATAGAGCCCTGGCCATTATGATGCAGTGTTATTTCACTGGAAAGTGTGCCTCTTGTGGTCTATATGACATCTGCCTCGGTTAGAGTCCATGCTTATAGGAAAATTCATGAACAAGAAAAGAGAATACAGTACTAGCATTTTAATTTTATATTGTTATGAGTTTGGGGTGAGAGAAGTAGGCTGTATGCTTGAGCCCCTCTTCTAATTCCTGTATCCAGTACATTCATTTGCTGGAATATCCAGGCCAGCCTGGTAGTGGCCCTCTAAGTATGGGTCCTTAAGGTAACAAAGGGAGTGGCTCTGTGTCAGAGGACAAATAGGTAGGCCTCCCTCCCTCAACTGCCTGTTAGTTAAAAATAAAAAGGGTCAGAGTAGGGAGTTGAGTTACTTGAGCTAGAAGCTGGAAGCAAAGCTGCAGGCTGCAAAAGCAGAGAGAGAGAGAGAGCCATGCCTGATTTCTCCTGGAATCCAAGGTGGTGGCTATGGAAGAAGCAAGACCCTCTTGGGTGTTAATGTTGTGAACCCCTCCATCACATAAATGCTCAGATTGTATATATGTGTTAATAAACCATATATCATAAAGTCACCTCAGTCTCCGCTGTCCCTCATTCCAAAAGAAACATGAATCCCTGGAATCTTACACTGCTCAGAGAATGGGGTAGCATGCAAGAATATGTAGTGTGTGTCAGATAAATCAGCAGGTTATGATGTGGAGAGATATGGCCAATTTAAAATGATTTATGTTGGATGGATGTTTTGGGATACCTTCTTGGTCTGAGAAGTACAGAATTAAAATTATTTGCTGCTACTGCTGTCATTCTGAACTTGACAGTTATTCAAAATACTCCTTGTGAAATGAAAGTTAAGAGTTTTCCATTGTTATCTACAGAAAGGACCAATGGAAGCCTTTTTCTAAGCCTGATTGCTGTTTAGATATGGTTTTTGGGGTGGGTGAGTTTATACCTGGATATGGAAGGGTTAACCCTCCCCTCTCTGTCATGCAGTTCCCCTAACAAACGCAGTTCACTCATTGGAGCCAAGGGGATCCTTATTAAAGCATAATTGCTCTGTTAGTGTGTGGGTGTGAGAGAGAGAGGGTGAATGGGGTGGCCCAATTCACTGCTTTGCTTCTCCCCACTGCAGATATGTGGTCACCAAAAGTTAGGGAATGCAACCCTCAGGCTTAAAATGATTCTTCCTCCTACTCTAGTGAGTACTTGTGGAGCAGATTTTGCTGTCCTTCAAAATTAGACTTGCTAGGTATGCCTGCCCTCTCTTTCAATGTTACCATTTTAATTTGGGTTTTTTTGTACATACATACTGCTTTAGAGCATATGTCCTCTCCCTCAGCAGGAGCGTACGTCTTCTCTGGTACTTTAAAAGGAAAAGCAAGCCGTCTCTTCCGGTATTGATACTGTTCTACTTAACCATGCATGTTATGGGGATGGACCAGTGTTAGAAACTGGGATATGAACGCTATGAGCTAAATGACACCTTAAACCTAGGTTACGGACACAACAGCGGAATGTTTAGGTGTGCTTTTTTAATAACAAGAACACAAAGCTGAAAATGAATGAACTGCAGCTAAAATCTTATATTCATTTTTCACATGGTCTAGTCCTCATCTGAAGACTGCAAAAAACACAGCCATGTTTCCCCTGCCTGCCCCCCTAATATTCTTAAGAGGGCCTCTTCTCCAGTCTTCAGAGTATGACTGGATGTGGAGAGGCAGAAAAAAGTCCTCCTTTCCTTCCACTCTGCAGTTTTAATCTGAATCTTAGGTGCAGTACTGTGCCTGGAGGTCAGAAACTGCTTGTGCTAATGAAATTCCTTGCTGCAAAATGTGACTAGAACAATGGGAGTTTTGAATGCTAGGATGGACTATGGGAACTGGATCTTGACCAGTACTACTCAAGCACTAAGAATAAAATTCAGGGCTTTTTCCTCATCTGGAAAAGCTCAGACTCCTACAGCTCAGTCCTACAAATATCTATTCAAAAGTCCTGTTGAATTTGATAGGGCTTAAAGGTATAGGTTTACAGCCTTACAGTCATGGACTTGCAAACTACCTATGACACATTATCCAAAACGTGTGGTTTTGTGCTATAAGCAGGGGTGAGCCTTGGGATGGAGGAGTTTGGAAAGTTTTGCTTTCTTTTAGCTGTAGTCTGTTTTCTGGTGTAACATAGTTAACGTTAACTATGTTAACAGGTCATGGTTTCTGAAGCTGGCTTGTTAAATTAAGCAAAGTTAATGCTAATTACAGTTTCTAGTTTAGAATAGGGTTACATTTTGGCGAGTATAAACTTGAAAGTACTTTGTCAGTTAACCATCTATAATACTTTTTTTTATATTGAAATTGGAAAAATAAAGTCTATTGCTCTCTTTTGCTAGGATGCTGGTGGAAGTCATCACAAAGTTTCTGTTTCTCCTGTGGTCCATGTCCGAGGGCTCTGTGAATCAGTTGTGGAGGCAGATCTTGTGGAGGCGCTTGAAAAATTTGGAACCATATGGTATGTTTACTATATATTATATCTTCAGTGACTCGAAATGAACTTCGTAACGCATTTAAAAAAGACTTCTTCAAGGCCTGTACTGGTACTCCTAAATTGAAACATAAGCCTCAAGCCTTGGAATTACCAAATCCTTCAGAAGTTAATTCTGAGGCAAATCATTGTGCTCATCTCCATATGGAAGCTGGGTAAGAGAACACTCTTATTTCTGTGCTTCTATATTAGATATTTATATACCTTGGCTGCCAACTTGGCCTATTGTTACATGGACACATGTGCTGTAGATTTCAAACAAACTTCCATGGATTTTAAGAAATGTAGGAGATTTTCTTTGAGTTTGCAATAGTAATTGTTATTGTGAAGTTTTTTAAGATCAGTTGTAACTTAATGATTTAATGATGGCCTTAAATGATAATAATAATAATAAATTTTATTTATATCCCGCCCTCCCCAGCCGAAGCCGGGCTCAGGGCGGCTAACAACAATAACACAGTACAAAAGTACAGCATAAACAACACTCTAAAATCATTCATGGCGCATTAACGGTTATTGTTTTTCCTGCAGCTATGTGATGATGATGCCATTTAAACGCCAGGCTTTGGTAGAATTTGAGGATATTGAAAGTGCCAAAAAATGTGTGACATTTGCAGCAGATGAACCGGTATATATAGCTGGACAACAAGCATTTTTCAATTACTCTACAAGCAAAAGAATTACCCGTCCTGGAAACACAGACGACCCCTCGGGTGGGAACAAAGTTCTGCTCTTATCAATTCAGAACCCTCTATATCCAATTACAGTGGTATGTCTTAATCTTAAGCATAACTTTAAGTGACTTCAATGCATGATATTTTCCTTTCGAAGAGTTTTCTTTCTGTCTCATATCTTGCTCTGATAAACTCTCAGACCCCTTGTTTGCATTGAATGTTAATCTGAACCACAGCTTAGCATGTATGAGCAAATATGCAGACTCCCAGAGAGGAGATTGTGGCTGTGGCTGTTTTGCTTCTTCTCTATGCCATGGTTTTGCTCATCCTGTCATCCAAACCTTGGCTTGTAGTTTAGTGCTCCCTAGACAAACCACAAGCTGTAACCAAGCACTGTTCTATAGGTTGCAGCTTGTCTGGGAAGACTAAACTATGAACCCATGTTTGAACAACTCAGCAGCAGCAGAACAACAACCAGAAGGGAAGCAAAGCGGCTACAGTCTTCTATACAGGGGTCTGTATGTTAGCTTGTTCATAGAATCGTAGTGTTGAAAGAGACCACAAGGGTCATCTAGTCCAACCCCTGGAATGCAGGATACTTTTGCCCAACATGGGGCTCAAACCCATGACCCCGAGATTAAGATTCTCATGCTAAGCCATGGTTTGGCTTTGTTGAGTGTCAACGAGGTCATATACTTTAATCTTATAATGCAAATGAAAGCATCCACACAGATCTGTACATGTTATTATTTATTTGTTCCATGCCAACAAACAGTTGGGGAGGATATTATTTCATTCAACAGAGATCTGTGCAGTAGAAGAGTTACTTTGGCTAGATAATTGTTTGGTTCTAATCTAAAGTCTGTGGTGAATGTTTTTGTACTCAACCAGCCCATAATAGGAAGGAAAAAGGAAGACAATGAAATTGCTTCCTATTCAGCAACATCTCACTACTTATGTTTTTGCTTGGAACTGCCAATCACTTACATTTCTTTACATTATTCCGATTTTACTTGTCATTGGTTCCTGATTTGTACACTATAGTTGTACTTGTCTTAACGGAAATCATATGATACAGTTTTAAATTATAGTATAGTATTTTAAAAATGTCTTTAATTTAGTCAAATTATTCAAAGACAAAAACTCAATGCAATATTCTATAAACTAGTATATTTGTAGCTTGTCCCAGATCACCCTTCTTTTAAACATATAGGGCAGTTGTGTATGCACCATGATTCATAGAGTCATACTATCTTTGTGTAATGAATAGCATTACCCTAGCACTTTGGTAAAATTCTTATGTTCACTGGTATTTTTAAGGTCTTGGGTTTTAGGGGCTACGTTTGAGTGAGCTTTTCCCATTGTTTACATTCTGCTTATTCCCAATTTATAAATGGTATATAGTATAAGTTAAAAATTATTTAAAGACACAAAAACTTTGGCAATCTAAGTAGTTGTTTGAAGCACATAGAGATAAAACCGAATTTAGGCTTACTGTTTTGATGATAAACTATAGCTAGAACGTTTCTCTACTTTTCTCTTACAGTTATCATATTCTTGCATTCCCTATGTAGTTATATATCTGTCACTGGGATAAATTTCTTGATCTATGTTTAGTACACAAGTGACTTCCTCTAAAAAAAATTAGGTCCAAACTTTACCTGCTTAAAGGAGGCGATTTTGTTATTGTGTGCTAATAACATTTTGAATAGTATTTGCCAAGTAAAGCTTCAAATACGGTATCTGAATATTTCCCTCATTCTTCTGTAGGACGTTTTGTATACAGTGTGCAACCCTGTGGGAAAAGTACAGCGTATTGTCATATTCAAGAGGAACGGAATACAAGCCATGGTTGAATATCCTTTTTGTGGTGACCTGTGTGTATATACTTCTGAAGATTATGTTCTAGGGATTTCACAGTGGCCTCAATAAGGGGAAGTGTTACTCTCATGTTAATCCTGTCAGGCAAACAACTGTGCTAGAGAACTAGTGAACTCATCTCTGCATATCATCCACCCTCTGGCTTGTATCCCATGGTGAGGGCAGTGTAGACTATTACCTAAACTGGGGGTGGAGAGCTTGTGATCCTCTAGATAGTGTTTGAGTGCTGCTCCAGTCATGCCCCATCACTGGCCATGCTGACTGCAGTTAATGACCAGAGGAAATCCAACATTTGCTGGAGGGCCACGGGTTTTCCACGCCATATCTGTTCATATTTGACAATGTAAAGATTTTAATGTAGTGCTCATAGCAAGCACACTGCTCATATACCAGTCCTGTTTTAAAGTTGAACACATTTTGGAAATTACTTATTTGAAAAGGTCATATATGCAATTTAAACCGATAGGGTTGCTGTGGATTTCATGTCCTTCATGTATTAGTCATTGACTCATACATAAAATTGGTGTTTCTGCATGGGTAATTAAAGAGCCTTGAGCAACTTCTAGATCTGTTGTGTTGTGCTCTAAATTAGCTTAACTTGCAGCTGCTTGTTTTCTTGGTGGGGGGCACCGATTTAAATAACAATCCTTAACATAACTCAAGTTTGAATCAGTTCTTTGTGCTCAGAAGGCAAAAGCAGCGCTCAACGGAGCAGATATATATGCAGGATGTTGTACACTAAAAATTGAATATGCAAGGGTAATGATCATACTTTCTTTAGCTTCTAGACTGTTTTTTTGGGAGGAAAGCAATGATTAAGACTTGCTGTTTGTTTCTATTTTAACAGCCAACTCGACTTAATGTCATTCGAAATGACAATGATAGTTGGGACTATACTAAACCATATTTGGGCAGACGAGGTAAGTGTTTTGGTAATTGTACTAAATGTGCATTTAAATATATACATATATGCAGTTAGCTTGTCTAATGTGTTAGTCACTTCAAGCCAGGTATTTCTGATGCAGCTCTTGTAATAGGCATCCTGACTTGTAATCCTGGAAAAGAATAACTCAACATTATTGCCCCTTGCTGGTTTATATTGAGCTATTTAACAAGGAGCCCACACATGCAAGCATGTTTGCAATACAAGGACTTGCATTTCTCCAAGCAGCTCTCACTCTTTGGAGGAGAGGACACTGATGCAGACTTTCCTTACAAACTACAAACTTGCACACTGCTTCTCCACGGAAAGGATTTTCCTCACTTGTTGGACAAGGCATTAAGAAGGATAGAGGACTCCAGCAGGCTGACTCTACACTTCATCATGCACCACATCGGCATCATCAACAGGCCCTCTGAAAAACCTCAGACTTGCAACTCACCTTGACTGCATACTGCATGCACCATCACCACAAGCATATCAAGGAGGACCACTTACAGCACTTCTGGTTTGCATGGCACGAAAATACCATGGTAGACTGTACCCATTCTAAACCAGTTTGCATGTGTTTCCAATCTTATGTCCCTTTAAAATTACCATTGTAGAATGAAACACCATAAAATGGAAGATCCAAACTCTTGTTTCTCTCCTGTACATTGCGGTAACTTTCTTTCTCAAATGTAAGAGAAAATTGAAGTTAGGTTTTCCAGTGTAAATGCTTTCTAAAGGACTGCACTTACTTTAAAGATTAATTGAAATTTTGCTGTATGCTGTCAAGTCCCCTCAAGCACCAGTATTTGACACAAGGTCTAATTTGTCTAAGCATTTTTACTGCAAAGGCTAGTTTGAATAACAACTGCATGGAAATGTTTAAAAAAAAAAGCTATGTAGTTTGACTTCTGTAAATGTTCTTTGTAACTGAATGATTTGTGTATAATTTGCTGTAATGTACCTTTTGAAAATCTAGGCATTTATAACATGGAGGTGGGAACTTAACCTTACCAAGGTAGAGTATCTTCTAAATTTTAAACATAGTGAAGGTTTCAACTTTCCTTTTAATTATTGCTGAAAGGTTGTTTTTACTGGTAGTGCTTTGGCTTGTAAAAATGTATTATTTAAAGGTTAGGGCTTGGACATGCAGAATTAAGTGTTTGTAAAAGGTTAATAAGGGGACTGCAGTATTGGTTAGCAGATTGTCCACCCGCAGTACGTTACATTAAACGCTCACATTCCTCCTCCCCCAAACTACCAAACTGGGAAGTCACTGAGTTATATTGCATATTGTATATTGTATTATGCATATTGTCTTATTTATATGATGTTAGCCGCTCTGAGCCTGGCTTTGGCTGGGGAGAGCGGGATACAAATAAAATTTATTATTATTATTATTATTACCTTGGGCAATTCAGGTGTTAATTTTCTGAAATACATAGATGCTATTCAAGCAACTGGCAGGCATGCAGTTCACACAGTATTTATGAACAGTGCCTTACCCCAGAATATTAAACGATGTGAAATGAGAAATATTGGAAGAAAACAAACCAGGTGCTTCCAAGTGTGTTACAATGTTCATTGGGATTTTCATTTTATTTCACCAGCAAATTCCATGTCCTATTGCAAACTGCTTTTGAAAGTGTTCTCGGTTGCCATGTACTGGAGGGGCTCCTCTTTTGTGGGGGGAGTAGTGTAAGATTCCCTGGGACATAAGGAATAAGTTGTGTGGCTCTTTATATCCAGTTTGCATACTTTTTATTTTGTACTCAAGTGGAGTTTCATGCAGAAAGAGAGCTGAATATACTGTTCATAGCTCATTTTCTAGGGAATCTGTAGTCCTCCAGATTGTGTTGGACTCCCAAGTCCCATCAACCACCACCAGCATTGCCAGTAGCAGTAGTCAGGGAAGATAGGAGTCGAACAACATCCAGAGGGCCATAGATACCCAATCCTTGTCCTAGACAAGAAGTGATGGAGGGGAACAGAGATACCGATATTCCTTTCTCCAAACAGGATTGCAGTTTTGAGAGTTAAACAATGTATAGAATCTGTTATCAGCAATAGACGTAATAATGCAGCACAGGGCATGCTTGAGACATTTCCTTTTGTGAGCAGCATACTGCTTGATAAGGAAAGAGTAGCTTTGTTAGCTAGCGATGTAGTACTCACTGAGTTTCTTGGCTTTCTTACAAGAGTGGTCTACACAAAAGGGTCCTTGTGATGGGCTGCTTTACATGCATTCTTCAAACCATTCCTCTTAGGTTGTTGTCTGTTCCTCTCCCCACGGCCAACCAGTCTGCAAGATTCTGGCTTCAGGGAGAATGATCTTTACAAAACAGGCTTCGGTTCTGGTTTCTTCAGACTGGAAACTGTGCCACAGTTTAGTGTTTAAAATTTAAAGCAGGAGATTTTAACTGATGGCTGTTTTAATTTATTATTTTACATTTTGCATCCTAGGCTTTTCTGTTAGGTATGTCAGGTGGAAAAGATTGGTTTTGCTCAAGGGTACCCACTGATCTTCAGAACTTGGCGGTTTGAAATGAAATTTTTCATTTCCCAAGCTGAAGACTGCCATTGCATCTTACTCGAACATGTAATTCTGGTGGCTGCTATTTGCTACTTCCGTTGTAAAAAAAATCCTGTCGTCTTATGTAACTTCAGGGCTGAATGATATGGCTAATATGTGAGATGAATAGCACTTCCATGTCAGATAGCACATGCTGAAAACTGTGGAAGTTGCTTTCTAGTAATGGGTTTGTGTTCTGGGTGCCACAACCTCTCTTTACTCTCCCACTATCAAAGTCAAATTATTATACGACTGTCTAATTCCTTGATTTAACCTAGGTTGTTTTTGCAGTCTCAAACATTGGAAACAAAACTTGAAATATTGCGCATTATCTACACTGAGATAGAACTGTTTGCGACTTCAGCTGGATATTTCTCATTTCCCATTGCACAATCAGTTGAGGTATTGGAACTTCAGATTGCCTAATGAAAAGAAGCAGTGAAAGTTAAAGCTAACTTGCTTGTTCTTGTAATGCAGTTTTACTTGATTATTGCAAATAATTACTTTAGGTTGGTGTACTGCTTTTATCCAGTACTGTTGACCCCTTGGTTAACTTTACATTCTTGTATAAAATGCGGCTTGTTGAAAGAATGTTTCCTTGTTAAAAGTGATTATAATAGTGCAATTTTTCAGCATTGCAATTATACAATAGACTGTATTAGTAGTATAGTAATGTATAGTCTTCACAGCACTTCCCCAGATCATAAGTTGTTGATATGATTATGTATGTACACAAATATGGTACTCTCTGTTTACTGATCATGAAACCATGTAATACAGGTTTTTGTTGGCTTATGCTGAAACTTCTTGAAAGAAGCCCACTTTGAAAATGTGTTGCTGTTGAAGCTAATAGTGTGATTCAGGTACTGTCCTTTGATTGTACTGCATTTAGAACTTGTTTTTATGAGAGTTATAGGCAATTTGTTCTCTGCTGTATTGTGTGATGTTAAGAGAATTGTCCAGGCTTCTTAGGTTTAAAATGTCAAATCTTTTCAAACACAATATTCTCAAGCAAACAATAGTTTTGGTATCTGACAACTGTGTTTTGTGCTGGAGCAAATCAACTTAAAACAGTTAGTTTACAGTATGCAAAGAACATCTTAAAAGTAACGTGGATGTATCAGGCTGGCCACTATTGGACCTTTGCTCTGATCCAGCAGGGTTCTTAACCAGAAAATACTCCCCTCTGTCCTTACTGGTGAAGTTCCACTATCTTTAAGCAGGAGTTGCTTTTGTTTAATAATGCTTTTTCCCCCTTTAGATAGAGGGAAAGGCCGCCAGAGGCAAGCTATTTTGGGAGAACACCCTTCATCCTTTAGGCATGATGGCTATGGTAAGTTATATGGCTTCCTGTTATGGGTTAAGTTGGAAAATAGGCCAATACAGTTGTAAATGTCTTGCTTCACTATTCAGGCACCAGTTCCCACATTTGTCTAGCTGCCCTCATTGTGCTACCTGAACCAGCTTGCTTTGCCTTAGTACAGGGTAGGGAACCCCATGCCCAGGGGTCAGATTTGGCTCTGCAGGTCTCTTTAATTTGTCGCCAGAACTCTTGCCAGGCTACTCCCCTCATTGGCTTTGCTTTGCATCCTGCATGTTTATATCTTGCTAGAATGTGTCCTTGAACTCTGATGATGCCTCTTTCTTGGCTGGAGGGCTGACAGAGGTGTGGGAGGCTGTGTAGAAACAAGCCTACTGTAAAGAGTTAAAATTTACATTTGTTGCTCCACCCACTTGCATCTGGCCCTGCCCATGATCGGCATGTGGCCCTCAGTAGGTTGTCCACGAGGGAATTGGATAGGGAGCCTTTCTCATGCCCTAGTGCACTTAGGTATAAAGAGGTATTGAGTTTGCATTCTGTTATGGCTACATGGTGCATCCATTTATGACCAGTTTTTCATGATCTCATTTTTATTTTTAAATGCCAGTACTTTTTTTTTTTTACACAGCTGATTGTAAATCAAGTTGTTATTCTGTGAGCAAACAAGATTTTTTTGTAAATTGCAGTTAACTTTGTCACAGTAGAAAATGAAACATTTCTTAATACTTCTCATATTGCACACATAAATCACTTCTAAAACTGAGGTTGAAACTTGCAGTAGCACACTTAGACCACCATCTAACACTTAGGTGTGCTGAAGCTCATTGAAATCAGTACAGTAGAGTCCTTTATTTTTAAGTCTCGCTTGTGGCTTTAGCTGTTTATCCTGTGTTAGTCAACTGATCAATCGACCGCCCTGCTCTGCATTCATTATCCGTGTAGAAGACCACCCCAAATTTCTGCCTACAATATATTTTTTTTAGCAAAAATCATCTTATACATGGAAAAAACAGTATATTTTGGTCGCTTGTGTTAACATTCGTGTCTAGATAAACAAGGTTTCAGTAGTTGATGCTAAATCTGCATAGCCCATTATAGCAAAACCTAAAACTGGCAGCTTCTTCTTCTTTTTATTAAATATTTTCTTGATTTACAAAAGTGTGTGCAATGTCTCTTTCTCGTTTATATTTTTTTCCCATGTAACATTTTTACAAATCAGTTTCATTTGTTGGGGCATTGGGAAGAAAAGGGGGAAAGGGGGGGGAGATGGGTAAAACTGGCAGCTTGTGAAACTTGGCAGCTTTAATCTTCATATCAGATCAAATAAAACTTTTCCCAACCAAATTAACTAGACAGTATTTTTTCTTTAGGATCGCATGGTCCACTGTTACCATTACCGAGCCGATACCGAATGGCATCTCGGGATACTCCAGAACTTGTTGCTTACCCACTTCCCCAGGCCTCCTCATCTTACATGCATGGGGGCAACCCCTCTGGTTCAGTTGTCATGGTTAGTGGATTGCACCAGCAAAAGATGAACTGCTCAAGAGTTTTCAACTTGTTCTGCTTGTACGGAAATATTGAAAAGGTAAAAGAAAAAGTCTAGGCACATAATAATAATAAAAAAATAAAAATAAAATAATTTTATTATTTATACCCCGCCCACCTGGCTGGGTTTCCCCAGCCATTCTTAAACTTAAAAGAATAATGAGCAATTACTGTGAAGAGAAACCAGAGCTACGCATATTCCAACCAAATTGGAAAATGTCCTAAGTTACCATCCTTTAAACTGTATTGTCTTTTTCTTCCAAAAAACCCCAACAACCCTGCAGGTGAAGTTTATGAAGACTATTCCAGGCACAGCTTTAGTGGAAATGGGTGATGAATATGCTGTTGAAAGAGCAGTCACGCATCTCAATAACGTCAAATTGTTTGGGAAGAGACTTAATGTTTGGTATGTGTGCATTTCATCTTACTACTAAAGCTAAAGCACGTCTTTAATGTGTAAGTTGTCTAGCAGTGTATAATACTAAAAATGCTGCTGAATAAAGTGGTTTTTTTAAAGAATACTGTTCTTATATGCAAAGAGTAAACTTTGTTATAACACTTCATTAATGTAAATACTTCTATATTTGATATTCTTCAATAACTTGACAAATGTCACTAAAGTGAGACATACAAGTGAAATGTTGATTATACCTTTGAGTTCATATTTTGTATGTTAAGAAATTTGCTTTGTGAATTCCATAACAAAGATCCCCCTCCTTTTTTTTTACACTCCCCAAAGTTGTTCTTAAATATGTACTCTTTATTTGTAGTGTATCCAAACAGCATTCAGTTGTTCCTAGTCAGATATTCGAGCTGGAAGATGGGACAAGCAGTTACAAAGACTTTGCAATGAGCAAGAACAATCGCTTTACCAGTGCGGGTCAAGCTTCCAAGAATATCATTCAGCCACCATCCTGTGTGTTGCATTACTATAATGTTCCACTATGTGTGACTGAAGAGAGCTTTGTAAAGGTAGGAAGCTGCAGGAGTCATAGCTGTTAAAGTGTAATTTAGGTTTCAGATGTCAGTATTTATTAACCTCCTTAAAGTAGACTCCATTTTTTATATCTTAGATCAGGGATGGGGAACTGGATCTGGCCAGTGAGCTGGATCTTGCAGCTACAGAGAGCCAGTGTGGTGTAGTGGTTAAGAGCGGTAGTCTCGTAATCTGGGGAACCGGGTTCGCGTCTCCGCTCCTCCACATGCAGCTGCTGGGTGACCTTGGGCTAGTCACGCTTCTCTGAAGTCTCTCAGCCTCACTCACCTCACAGAGTGTTTGTTGTTGGGGAGGAAGGGAAAGGAGAATGTTAGCTGCTTTGAGACTCCTTAAAGGGAGTGAAAGGTGGGATATCAAATCCAAACTCTTCTTCTTCTACTACTACACTCACTACAGGCCAATTTTGATAGGTGGGTGGAAGCACACACCAGTCAATAATATGACATGTGATGCCTATCAAAGTAAAAAGGGGATCGATGTAACCACTGATCAGCTGATAGACAGTTATAGCAATCTCATTTTAAGGTGAATTCCCAGCACCGGTTGGCTGAATCTGGTTGGAATGCACCTTCAAAGAGACTTGTTGCTGTATCATAGACTGGTTTGAATTGAGGCCGTCTGCTAAAACGGAGGGGAAAACCATTTTAGCAAGCGGTTTAAAGGCAAACCATTTTCCGCTCATGGTGCAGTTCCTTTCGAAGGTGCTCTCCCACTGCCATTCAGCTGATTGGCGGTGGAAGTATGCTTTGCTTCAGTAGCATGACACCATTTATGCTTGCTAAAATGGAAGAAAAAACCTCTTGTTTTAGCAAGCTATTTTCATGCAGACCACTTCAAAACAGAACACTTGGGTGCACTAGAGAGTGGGGCCCATCCTGGACCTAATGAGCTCTGCAGGCTGGAGGTTCCCTGGTGCTGTCTTAGATGCTTAGATGCTTTAAAAGTAAGCTAATCAACCATTTTGTGCCAAGTGTCCTCCTTATCCCAGAAATCGCCAGTTTCTGCAGCTCTGAAGTGACATCCTCTAGAATTAGATTGTTGATGTTTAATGAACCTATTTTCACTTTATTGTTCCAGCTGTGTGATGATCATGAAGTTCTGTCTTTTATCAAATACAAAGTATTTGACCCAAAGCGTAAGTGAATATTTGACTTTATTTAAGTGCTCAAAGAATCCTAACTTACCGATGGTGGTGTGAAGCAAACATTTTAAACTCTTGTTTTGACAGCTTCAGCCAAAACACTTTCTGGTCTGTTGGAGTGGGAATGCAAGACAGATGCAGTGGAAGCCCTTACAGTACTTAATCACTACCAGATAAGAGTCCCTAGTAAGTCACTGTATTGAAACTTTCTTAAAGGGTTTTATTGATTTATTTTAAAGAATTTATATGCCATCTCACTAATATAATACCAAGACTGTGTGCAATAAAACAATCCAGTACACCAGCGGTGTTCATGGCACCCTGGGGTGTCTTGAATGATGGTCCGGGGTGCTGTGGGCAACACTGGCCTTTGTCAGTGAAGGACAATGAAGAAAACATGTAAAATGGTAACTGGTAACTTTCTCTGCCCTAAAGTGAAAGTAAGAGCAGAGGCCTTGATTTACAAGCTCCGTATCTAGTAGTCATTCTTTGTGAGTGATGTCACAGGTAATATCCAATAGCAACTTGGTTAATTTGTGTACCCACTTACCATTCAGTGACCACAACAGCAATAGATGTATTAGGAGAAAACTGTGTTGTCCATCAAGACGATAATGCTATTTAAATGGTCTGATTGTGTGATACTTCTGCATCAGAAGTGCAACTGTGATGGAAGCCATGGGAACAACACCCTATAAAGCCATGGAACTGGTTTCTTAGAAAGACAGTATTTTCTTTCTAGGGGAAAGGTTTGGTTGAGTTTTGATGCATTATGCACTGGCATGCTAGAAATAGATTCTAGTATTTTAGTAGCAGTTTTTCACAGTAGTTAAACACTTGCTTAAAGAAATATCTTTTCTCAGACAAACAGGCTGACATAAGGCACAAAACCATCCAAAGTGACATTCTTAACAGTTTCCCTTTTATCTTGCAGATGGCTCTAATCCTTATACCTTGAAGCTTTGCTTCTCTACTTCCTCCCATTTGTAGAGCAGAGGACAGCATGTTAAGGAGCTCCTTCCCTCTTTATTTACACACTTGAAGAAATCGTATGTTGTCTGCAGGCTCTAGGTTTTCTTGTCTCAATCTAACTTAAGTTCATTTTGTTTTATAATGAAAGTGTTTTTACACAACCATTTTCCCGTTGGCTTCTGAAGAGTAGATGACAGCATATTACATAGAGCTTTTTTTCACTTGTGTAACGGTTATCTACAGGTGTTTGAACTGCCTTATAGGCAGCATGTGCAAAAAACTGTATACAGCAGACCTTAAACACAGTTTCCACACAGCAGTAAAATGTACATTTTCATTTACAATCACTATTTTCCACTTTGGTTTAAATGGCAAGTTGGATTATTATATTGGAATATTAGATGTAAAATTGCTGGTTAATTCTGGTTAAAACTGTATGCGTTGCAACAATTTTAAAAGCAGAACTAAATTTGTAAATCCTTTTCACTTTGATATTTAGTAATATAACTGTCACTGATTTTTAAGAGAAACTTCACAGGAAGAAAGATTTTTTTTCCCAGAATGAATTGAAACTTACTTTAAATAGTGTCTTCTCAGAATAATTTTTCACTCCCATTAGCATGATGTCCTTATTGCTAATCCTAACCTGGAATGTCCTTACAAAAAATAAACACCAACCTGAATGAATACAGTTTCTCATTTGCTTTGTGATGACAGTCTTTGTCACAGGATGGTTTTACGTCCTTGTATTAACCAAGCTAGGGAGGGGAGAGACACAAAACAGCAAGGCAGACCCTGGGACCCTGCTGATGTGTAGAGAGAAGCTCACACCTACTCATATCTCCTGTGTGGCTTACTCCCAAGTAGTTGTGTGCAGCACTTAATGCTTCAATTCCTCCCCACCCTTCACAATACACACAGATTGGGGAGGGAACGGGGATTCTTTTTAAAAAAAATTATAGTTTTTCTACTAAGTTTTATTTGTATGTTATGTGTTTTCATGTTTTTATATTGCAAACCACCCTGTGATCCTCAGATGAAATTCAGTGGATGATGATGATGATTTTTGTTGCTTTTTTCTGAACTTTTTCCAACTTTTGGGAATACCTAAAGTTTATCTTTGGATCCAAACTGTAGATAAGGGGTTGGAATCTGTGGTCTTCTGCATATTATTAAATTCCAACTCCCATCAGCCCCAGCCATCATGGTAAAGGAGAGCCACAATTCCCCCTCCTTGGAGTAGTGGGTCCCACCCGACTCACGAGTTGAAGACCGATATGTTAGAAGACTTCATTAATTTAAAGTATCAAATCAGGTCGTTTAGGCCAGAGTAGGCAACATACAGCATTTTTATGTGCAAATTGGTCATCCCATGAATTTGTGATTGATACAAGAACCAATTTCAAATTTTGTGGTGGGGGCAGGAAGGGGGAATCTTTTTAGTTGGTATTTTTAGACCCATGGGAGCCAGAAACCTGTGCCAGATACATTGCGGGTGTACTAGTAAGAGCTGTGATTGATTTGAAGTAAACCACCAGAGCTCTTACCAATACATCCCAATTTACCTTCTGCCCATCCCTGCTCTAGTGCTCCCTAATAATTATGGTGGAAAAAACCATGTGCTTTCAGGGTGTTCCCTGCAAAGCAGCCACCAGAGGGAGGCCTGCAGCCAGGGATTAGCTTCCAAACACTCACCTCTCCTACAGGAGAGAGATTTAAACATCAATCATATCTGTAACCAATTCTTTTTATTGTCTAGGAGTGGGTAACTGATATAATTAGGAATGTGTCTAATTGTTTCAGAGCTTGTGCACTTACGGATGATACAAGCCTTGACAAGGTTTCCTTTGCTTGGGGCAGAACAATAGCCTCCTTTTCCAAGGTTTATGTTGAATTGTAGTGGCAGGCCTGGTAACAAAAAGCAGGATTCCTCTGCACCTCGTTTCTTAAAACTAGCTTTCATTTAGGAGTAAAGGAGTGCAAAAAGTAAGAAAACCTTACTCACAAGAATAAAATTATTTCACACTTGGCTTCTCTAAGCAGTAGCTGCTAAACAAGAATTTATAGATTCCTTATTTCTGTAATGAGAAGTGGCGATTGCATTCCCTCCAAAGCAAGAGTAGCCAGTGTGGCACCTTCCAGACGCTGCAAACAATAAGCCCCTGCCAACATGGTCAATGTTCAAGGATGATGGGAGTGGGAGTCCCCCATATCTGAAGGGTGCATTGTTGAGAATCCCTCTTCTAAAGCTTCAGGTTCCCAGTTTGGTGCTGCTCTTGGATCCAACTTTGTCACCAGAAGCCCAGCTGACTACAGTGTCATAGAGCACCTTTACCAGCCGAGGCTGGTGATCCGACTTTTTTTGTGGATGTAGCTGCAGTTGCCCTGGTAACATTCATGTTAGGCTACTGCAATGCAAGCAAGGAGCTACCCCTGAAGAATACTCAGAAACAGCAGTTAGCTCAGAAGACAATTCCTTGAGGGTCAACTTGCATCGGGCTCTGAGAACAATACCTCACCGGTACTAAAATATATCCACTGGGTCTTATTTCTGAGCTCAGGTCAAAATGTTACCAATAGACTTTGCCCCCATGAATTTGTCTACATACAAGGGTATTTTGTCGCACCAGAATGCAGGTGCCACTGGTGCAGCAGCAGCAATCTGCAGAGGAAACTGGCACAGCCTTCTTGTAGTGTGCAGCTGGCAGGTGCGCACATGATTGTTTGCATTAAATGGCCATGGTTCTTATTTAAAAATATGTTGACACTGTTATGCACATAACCCCCAGCAATTAAAGTGAACTTTGAAGTACTGGGTCGATTCTCCTCTTCCTCCCAGAATTGAGGTCAATCATTCCAGAAGTCAGTCTGCCTTTATCTAGCTTGCAGGCATAAACCAGTCCCAAAAGTCATTGTGTGGTAGAAACAATTTTGGAGATCCTTTTTGCCTGTGTATATGATGACGGGCAGCCACTTAGCCACAAATTGGCCCTTAGTCACTATTCACTTAGCACTGCAATGCCAGGTAAGTTTTTTTTAAATCCAAGGCTAGTTGCCAAACCCTGGTGATCCAGTCCTTAATTGTAAAGTCTGCAGCCTTCTAGTTGCCTGCTATCTCTGCCCAAGTTCCTTGTGAATAATTTCCCCTTTCTGCCCCCCTGGAACAGATAGAAGGCCAACAGTATTACAATCTGGGCTGTAACATTTGAAACGAACCCAAACTCTGCCTGCCCAAACCCCTGGGTTGTTGAACATGTCCACCAAAGATGGAATACGGTTCTTGTTTCATGTTTCCCAGGACTACCTATAAAAGCCAGTTCTCAACATTCATTGCAACAATTGCAGTAGGCAGCTTCAGGGGGCACATGGGGGTGGGGCAAACATAACTGTCCTGATGTGAGTCATCCCAGCCACCTCCAATCTATTCTTCATTGCATGGGGAAGGCCTCTTTGTGTTCACTTGAGCACAAGACTTCTCTGTGAAATGAAAGGCACTCTTGCTTTATCGGGATTCCCAAATGCATGTAGGGTTTTATGTTAAAGCGAACACCGGGACGGTCCAGGGTTGGGGGCGGGTGGTGCAATGCATGCAGAGACATCGAGGACAGGGCTCTCATGCACCCCTGCTTTCACCTTTTGTGTATTCAGCCAAATGTCTAAGCACGTCTAGTATGCCCAACAAAAGGAACCCAGGATGGGGCCTTGTAGAAAGGAGCCGCCCCTTTTTTAAATGACTGCGTTCATCTGCAGCAGGCAGCAGGTTTGGCTTCTACCCTGCAGCTGGGGAGTCTTAGGTCCAGAGAATGAATGTGGCCCTCCAAACCTTTCCACCTGGCCCCTTGACACTCTTCCAGTCTACACCCCAAGTGTTTTTGCCTGGCTGGAATATGTCCTTGAACCTCTGATCATGCCTCTTTCCCATCCCCGCTCTACTCCTGATTTCCTTTCTTTACTCACTCATCTTTATCAACGACTTGGATGATGGACTCAAGGGCATCCTGATCAAATTTGCAGATGACACCAAACTGGGAGGGGTGGCTAACACCCCAGAGGACAGGATCACACTTCAAACGACCTTGACAGATTAGAGAACTGGGCCAAAACAAACAAGATGAATTTTAACAGAGAGAAATGTAAAGTATTGCACTTGGGCAAAAAAAATGAGAGGCACAAATACAAGATGGGTGACACCCGGCTTGAGAGCAGTACATGTGAAAAGGATCTAGGAGTCTTGGTTGACCACAAACTTGACATGAGCCAACAGTGTGACGTGGCAGCTAAAAAAGCCAATGCAATTCTGGGCTGCATCAATAGGAGTATAGTATCTAGATCAAGGGAAGTAATAGTGCCACTGTATTCTGCTCTGGTCAGACCTCACCTGGAGTACTGTGTCCAGTTCTGGGCACCACAGTTCAAGAAGGACACTGACAAACTGGAACGTGTCCAGAGGAGGGCAACCAAAATGGTCAAAGGCCTGGAAACGATGCCTTATGAGGAACGGCTAAGGGAGCTGGGCATGTTTAGCCTGGAGAAGAGGAGGTTAAGGGGTGATATGATAGCCATGTTCAAATATATAAAAGGATGTCACATAGAGGAGGGAGAAAGGTTGTTTTCTGCTGCTCCAGAGAAGCGGACACGGAGCAATGGATCCAAATTACAAGAAAGAAGATTCCACCTAAACATTAGGAAGAACTTCCTGACAGTAAGAGCTGTTCGACAGTGGAATTTGCTGCCAAGGAGTGTGGTGGAGTCTCCTTCTTTGGAGGTCTTTAAGCAGAGGCTTGACAACCATATGTCAGGAGTGCTCTGATGGTGTTTCCTGCATGGCAGGGGGTTGGACTCGATGGCCCTTATGGTCTCTTCCAACTCTATGATTCTATGATCTCCAGGTGAACGGTTGCCTTGCTATGCCAGAAGGGACACTTGCAATGATGTGACCAAACCAGCAGTTTCTGAGCCCTGACGCTTGGCAGGCTGGCCCACGCAGGGCTCTTGCAGAAGGGCACAATGTGGCTCTG